GTGCCTGGATGGCTCAGTGGGTTGAGCTTCTGACTCTGGATTTCGGCTCAAGTCGTGATCTTGGAAACATGAGACTGAGCCCCAAGTTGGGCTCTGCACTGTGCGTGGAGTCTGCTTAGGATTCTCTATTTCTTCCTCTGTCCTTCGTCCCACCTTTTCATGTGCTCTCTCTCTCTCAAAAAAATTACAACCTCCAGCCCGTGAGATCCCTACCTCCCTACCTATGAGACTCTAAGAGTCCTATTTTCTGCTCCAGTATTGTATAATTTATGTCTCTGTTCTATTTCTTGCTCATTCTCTGCTCCTTTTGTGAGAGCATAAGCTCCCATAAGACAGTGTTGCTATTTGGCTCAGTGATGGAGCCCCAAGTGCATGGAATAGTGCCAGGCACACAATACATGCTCAATAAATGGTGAATGAATGTATGAATGTAGGCATAGGAAGTATGGGGGTTCTGCTATCACCAAATCTTCCCATTTTTCTAGAAAAGCTCCAAATACAGATTTTCATGTATAATCTCCAGCTCTTTAAAAGATTTTATTTATTTATTTTGTAGAGAGTACGAGCATGAGGGAGAGGGAGAGAGAGAATCTCAAGCAGACTCCCTGCTGACATAGAGCCCGATGTGGGGCTTGATCCCACGACCCCTAGATCATGACCTGAGCCAAAATCAAGAGTTGGACTCCCAACCAACTGAGCCACCCAGACGCCCGAATCTCCAGGTTTTTCAATGTTGTAGTTTTAATTCTTTTAAAGCATTGCATGGGCCAAAAGAAACATTTCTATAGCATCCAGTCCTCTGTTCTAGAAGATTCTGGAGGCCGATATGCACTGGGCCAGGTGAGGAAGGGTCTATTGGGTGGAGTGCCAAGCGGGCCCCTCAAATCTGGCCTGTCCCAGAAAACTTGCCCCTTGTGGGCCAATGTGCATTAAGAGTATCGCATGGGTGGTCCTTAAGGGGCGATGCCCCATCTTGTGCAGCCCCTCACCTGTGCTGTGTCTGTACTATAGCCTGTAGCTTCAGCAGTCACAGCATGGGTGGGGACCAACAGAAGACTTTCCCTGTGGCCAACATAACCCGTTTTTCTTAACCAGGCCAACATTTGACCTAGGTCCCCCATAACAGGAATAACTTGTGCTCTCACCGTTGAAGACAGACGGCTGAGGGCAGTGCGCTGTGCAGGAAGGGCTGGGGGTTGTATCGGAGGGGAGTGCGGGCTTGCAGCAGAGTCCAGACTGTCGTGCGGTCTCTCTGCACTATCTTAAGTAAGTCCCTTCCCCTTTCTTGCCCTTTGTTTTCCATTCTGTACAGTAAGGGCTTGGAAGCAGCTCCACATCTCCAAGTGCATCCCCTGGGTGACTGGGTCCCGCTGCAGACTCACTGAATTAGAATGCAGGGTGGGGTGGGGTGGGGTGGGTGGGTTTTCTTATTGACACCTCCCCTGGCCACTGATCTAAAATGGTGCCCTCCCCCCCCAAAATAAATAAAATAAAATAAAATAAAATAAAATAAAATAAAATGGTGCCCTCCTCCTTCCTACCTTGTTCTCAGTGTTCCTTTCCTCGTTGTTGCCTATAACTATCAGGTTCACTCATTTTGCCTTTTGCCACCCTCTCTTCCCCTGCTGGTATGTAAACCCCATGAGGGCAAGGAGTTTTTAAAACACCACTTATATTGAGGAATAATGGATGGAAAACACAGTTTAGCAATTTTAAGTGCATACTTCAATGAACTGTGACAACTGTATACAGCCTTGTGACCACCACAACAATCAGGGTATAGAAGTGACATCACCCCAAAAAGTTCCCTTGTGCCTCTTTTTTTATTTAAAAATTTTTTCTTAAGTAATCCTTTCTTAAAAATTTTTTTATTTATTCATTTGAGACACAGAGATATAGAAAGAGAGCATGTGCAGAGGGAGAGGGAGAGGGAGAGGGAGAGGAAGAAGCAGACTCCCCACTGAGCCAGGAACCTGATTTAGGGCTCAATCCCGGGACCCCAGGATCACGACCTGAGCCAAAGGCAGACACTTAACCATATGAGCCACCCAGGCACCCTCTCAAGTAATCTTTACACCCAGCATGGGGCTTGAAATCACAACCCTGAGATCAAGAGTCGCATGCTCTAACACTGAGCCATCCAGGTGTCCGTCCCCCTTGTGCCCTTCCTTAGGCAGTCTCCTTCCTCTGGACCTGGTCCCTAGCAACCACTGATCTGCTTGTGCCCTCCTAGGCCGGAATTTTCTGGAATATCACAGAAATGGAATCATTGTAGTGGGTGGTCTTTTGTGGTCTGGCTTTTTACACAAAGCTAATACTTCTGAGGTTCCTCCAAGATGGTGCCCGTTTTAAGAGTTTGTTCCTTTTTATTGCTGAGTAGTATTCTAAATATTTTATTTATTTATTTGACAGAGAGATCACAAGTAGGCAGAGAGGCAGGCAGAGAGAGAGGGGGAAGCAGGCTCCCTGCTGAGCAGAGAGCCCAATGCGGGACACGATCCCAGGACCCTGAGATCATGACCCGAGCCGAAGGCAGAAGCCCAACCCACTGAGCCACCCAGGTGCCCCAGTAGTATTCTATCGTATGGGTACATGACAGTCTGTTTATCCATTCTAATGATGGACATTTTGATTATTTAACTAACTGTCAAAATAGTTTTTGATTGCTATGAATAAAGCCTCTGTGAACATTCCTGAATGTCTTTTTTTTTTTTAAAGATTTTATTTATTTATTTGACAGATAGAGATCACAAGTAGGCAGAGAGGCAGGCAGAGAGAGAGGAGGAAGCAGGCTCCCTGCCGAGCAGAGAGCCCAATGCGGGGCTTGATCCCAGGACTCTGGGATCATGACTGGAGCTGAAGGCAGAGGCTTTAACCCACTGAGCCACCCAGGCGCCCCACATTCCCAAATGTCTTTGCATGCACCTGTGATTTCATGTCTCTTGGGTAAATATTTAAGATTTTATTTATTTATTTGTCAGAGAGATAGAGAGAGTACAGGCAGGCAGAGAGGCAGGCAGAGAGAGGGGTGTGGGGGGAAGCAGGCTCCCCGAGGAGCAAGTGCGACTCGATCCCAGGATGCGGGGATCATGACCTGAGCTGAAGGCAGCCCCTTAACCGACTGAGCCACTCAGGCATCCCTTGGGTAAATATTTAGTAGGAGGATTGCTGTCTGGTAAACATACCTTCACAGATTCCAAAGTGAGGGCCCAAAGACTTTCAGTAATACTAGCTGAATGAGTGGTGTCCTTGCATCTGCATTTTTATTTATGTATGTATGTATTTATTTATTTTTAAAGATTTTATTTATTTATTTGACAGACAGAGATCACAAGTAGGCAGAGAGGCAGGCAGAGAGAGGAGGAAGCAGGCTCCCTGCGGAGCAGAGAGCCCGATGCGGGGGGGCTTGATCCCAGGACCCTGGGATCATGACCTGAGGGGAAGGCAGAGGCTTTAACCCACTAAGCCACCCAGGTGCCCCTGCATCTGCATTTTTAATAAACTCCCCAGGTATAGCCAGGTGTTTCTGTGCTAGAAGATCTGGACTCTGAGAACCTTCGGCTCTAACGGGCTACTTCTCTTTTGCCTTCCGTCTCTGGAGTCTGAGGTGTTATACCCAAACCTTAGCCCCCAAGCAGACCCAGGACTGAGATTTGTATAGGTTATTCCCACCCCAGAGGAACTCAGGCCTTGCCAGGAATGTGCAGCCCATAGTCACCTTCATTAGCTCAGCATCATGAGAGCTGATAATCACTACAGCAAATACACTGTTGCAAACTTGCCATTATGTCTCCTGTATCTTTTGACTTTTTATGAGCCTGAGGTCTTCTTCCTGTCCTTCTGGGGCTAAGGCAGGATGACCTACTAATTTGTTCACTTATTCCTTCATTCACATATAACACTTTTAAATGAGTCTTTTCTGTGCTAGGCAATGTCTAGGTGCTGGAGAGGCATTTGTGAAAAAGATAAAATCACTGCTTTCAGGGAACTTTCAAGGTGGAGAAAGGTGACAAGGCAAGTATAAGCAAATAAGATAATTTCAAGTAGCATTAAGGTCTGTGAAGAAAACACAACTGGGTGATGGTTGAAGGGAACTTTAGATAAGATGGCAGGGAAATGCTCTCTGGAGTGGAATATTTGAATCCAGAAGGAATGGACTATGGGACTATCCAAGGTTGCTCTGTAGCCACCAGCCACTTACAGCTGTGAACTGTGGCTGGTTTGCGTTGAGATGCACCGTAAGTGTAAAATACAGACTAAATTTCAAAAACTTACTATTAAACCCCCCTAAAATATCTCATTGATTCTTTTTTCTTTTGGCTACAGGTTGAGATGATCATGTATTGGACATATTGAATTAAATGAAATACATTACTCATTTTTACTTTTTTCTTCTTTAAAAATGTACCAAGTAGTAAATTACAAATTACGATGTATCTTGTATGTGTGGCTTGTATTCTATTTCTACCGGACAGTAGGGATCCCGGGGAAAGGCATCCTAAGTAGAGAATGGCAAAAGCACAGGGTCCTTTAGTGGGGAACTGAAGGCTGCTGGAGGCAGGAGCCAGAGAGAGGGGCAGAAACAGGAATGGATCAGATCTAGCCGGAGTGAGCCGGGTTTTAATTCAAGCATAAGGGGGGAAGCCGATTAAAGCAAGGAAGTGGCTTGGTCTGAATTATGTTTTAGCAGACCCCTGTGGCTACTGAGTGGGGAACCCACTGTCGGTGGGCCAGATGGAGGAAGAACGCTGGGTTCCAAGACTGTTGAAGCCACACGAATTTGTGACCCTGCCCTCCCGTGGGACTCAGTCTCCTCCCAGCCGGGTAGGTTGCGGGCTCCTTGGGCGGTTCTCCGGTTCCAGCCGCAGCCGCAGCAGCAGGCTCTAGCGGCCGCCGGCGGCAGGGGGCGCCTCCTCGATGACTCGGCGCTCGGCTGGCCAGGCTCCGGCGCGTCGCCGGCTCGATTGGTCGGGTCGGGCCGGGCCGGAGCGCCGCTGGCCAGCGCCATTGAGGAGCCGGGAGAGGAAGCGCCGCGCAGTGCCGGGCTAGGCGGGCGGCCCGGGACACAGACAGGTACGGGCCGAGGCGGGGCGACGCCGGGCGACACGCAGGGTCAGAGACTGCAGGTGGGCCGTGGGCCTGTTGTCTGTCGTTCCGGCTCCGCTTCGGATCCGGGGTCCGGGCCCGCCCGCGGGGAGCGCGCCGCTGGGAGCCCGGGGAGCTCGGCGTCCGGCCCTCCCGCCGTCTGAGCTCCTCCGGGGGCCCTGGGGCGTCCGTGCTCCCGACAGCCCCGAGCCGCTGCCCTCATGGGGACCCCTCTGCATCCGAGCCCCCACAGGCACCCCAGGGACTGACAGGCTTCTCGGGACCCCGGCGTCCTTGTCCTGGGAGTCCGAGTCCCCACCGGACCCGGCACCTTTTCCGGGGTCCCGGCAGCCTGGTGCCCGGGGATTCGGGGACGGTGTCAGCCCGCGTCTCCCCGCCTGAGCCACGGTTTCCGTGCGGGACCCGTGTGCGAGCCCCTCTCCCTCACGCCCAAGAACGGGGGCGCTGGTTAGTTCCCCACAGTGTTTTAACCACCCACCAGCCTTCTGGGGTTACGCTCTGGGTTGGGGACTTCAGGTCAAGCCAGTCTTTACCCCCGCTCCCCGGGGTTACACTCAAGCTGAGTCCTTGCTTTCAGGTGCGGGACCCCAGCCGCCAGGCGCCGTTTCCTCCGGCCTCTATCTGGGTGTTGGGGTCTCCGTTCCCTGGAGCCCACGGAGTGGAGGAAGGGCTGTGGGACCCTCGCCTTCAGGGCAGTCTCATTCCTGTGGGGCCCGAGGCCCCCTCTGGTCCCTAATTCTCTGAGCTCTCTGACTCCCACAGCACTCGGGCCCGGCCGGTTTGGGGAGCAGCGCTCTGGTCCCTTTGCCAGTCCTTCCTACTCCCAGCTTTGGCCGCCCCTCGAGGGAGGGGCCTGGCTCAAGGTCATGCCCGGGCTGTCTGCCCGCCCGTGGGCTGAGCCCTGATCCCCAGTGTCACCTACTCCACCGATTAGGCGAGGTCAGGTGCGAGTTAGTGCCAGGCGACTGCCTGGAAGCCCTGGTGGACCCGAGTGTAAACACTTTGGGATTCTAGCCAGTCTGGCGGCCCTTCCTGACACCGGATTCCTTAAGGGAATCCTTGAAGTGGCTTCAAGCCTGGGTTAGATGCTTAGCTGAGCTAATAGACTCTTTCTGGCTTGAGTATTAATTTACTGACCAGGGCATTTACAGTGCTTCTCACCCCATATTTTCCTTAATCTGTATTTTGCACTCTTCCACCTTCAGGGGAAGTAGAGTCTGGCCGGATCTTGGGTACCAACTGACAGTTTCTCCCTCTACTGGGAGAGTATTTGTAGTTGGCACTTAATAGAGAGTTTCCTGGCATTTTAGGGGTGGAGGCAATGGCATTAACTTCAAAAATAAAGAGCACTCTGATTTTGGCTCCCTGCCTAAATGTGTTTGGAGTCTACATAGTAATACTAGAATAAGTCAGGTTCACATTTTGTTCTCACAGATTTACTTGTTTGAAGTTGTAATATAGAAGTGTTTATTTTACCAGATTGTTAAACATTTCTTATTTTTAAGAGTTTGTTCTTATAACCTCTCCTTTAAGTAAATGTATCCAATAACTAGCAAATTCTTAGTTTTACACAAAATATGGCTTAAAATTTTTTGAAAAGAAATCAGTATTTCATCAAATGCTATTCATTTACTTGTTTATTTTCACTGTCACTGATAGCAAATAAAAAGGAAAGTGCAAGTGCAAGTCACTGTTGACGAATAAAAGTCAGTCTTTCCTGAAGGTTCATTTAACTCTTACAGGGCCTTGTGTTTTGGGTCTTTGTTGGGTGGTAGCCTTTCTTTTGGGATAAGTGTATTTTCTGGCACTAAGATGAATCACTGGGGGTGGGGCAGAGTGCCTGGAAAGGATCCTGAAAGGGCTGGTTCCAAGTGGGACACATGCCATAGCAAATCCGGAGTGTCCTGCATGGTGGGCTGGTGTCTGATGTGCTTGGCTCAGAGCAGGATTTGGAACTCACAGTTCTAACTGGGATCTGCTAGCTAGCTGAGCAATTTCAGAACACATTGAAACTTTTATGTCTCAGGTTCCCTCATGATAACTTATTACAATACTAAAAGTAATGTGTATATTTTTTGCAATGCTAATAAACACAGTAGTGGTAAAGCAGTAGTGGATGTAAATACTGTAGTTGGAACCAGAGAATTTCTTGTATTTGTATTACCGACTAAGGTAGTTCATTGTATCCGCATCGTCTGGTGCCTGGGTTCCTGTAATGCAGTTCCAGAACTTTTTTTTTTTTTTTTAAGATTTTATTTATTTGACAGAGATCACAAGTAGGCCGAGAGGCAGGCGGGGTGGGGGGGGGAAGCAGGCTCCCTGCTGAGCAGAGAGCCCGATTCGGGGCTCAATCTCAGGATCCTGGGATCATCACCTGGGATCATGACCTGATAAAGGCAGAGGCTTTAACCCACTGAGCCACCCAGGCGCCCGCAGTTCCAGAAACTTTTGAGAACGGTGATAAATCTCAGCCTTCTCCCTTTCATTTATGTTATTTTATGAATGATCTTGATGAATGAATTTGCACGTTTGAATTAGAGAAGGCTTAAAGAGGATCGTTGTAGAATACGTTCATTGAAATCTCTTAGGGCATTTTTGCCTTAGTCTAGGACAGGGTTTTTCTTTCTTTCTCACTTTTTTTTTTAAAGAGAGGGTTTTTCAGCCTCAGCCCTGTTGACATTTGGGCTGAATGATTCTTTGTCATGGGGGAGCTGTCTTGTGCATTGCAGGATGTTTCCATGGTCTTTCCATGGTCTCTACTCACAAGATACCTGTAGTAACCCCCAGTCATGATAATAAAAAATATGTCTAGTGGGGCGCCTGGGTGGCTCAGTGGGTTAAAGCTTCTGCCTTCGGCTCAGGTCATGATCTCAGGGTCCTGGGATCGAGCCCCGCATCTGGCTCTCTGCTCAGCGAGGAGCCTGCTTCTCCTTCTCTCTCTCTGCCTGCTTCTCTGCCTACTTGTGATCTCTGTCTGTCAAATAAATAAATAAAATCTTTTAAAAAAAATTGTGTCTAGACATTGCCCAGTTACACTTGGATGAGAACCTCTGACCAGGACAGTCTAATGCCAAGGTGAATTACTAAAGGCAGTTTAATGATCAGTTACATCGAAAGGAGAGACAACTTGGAATTGTAGGTATGTTTGGTATATTTATAAGTGACTGTTCCTTGTAGCTGTGTGAGAACATGTTTGTTTGATCCTTGGCTAACACGGGGTCTTACAGTACTGGTCACCCCATCTTTTTTTAAATCTGTGCTTTTCATTCATCCACCTTTAGGAAAGGTAGCATAGGAAACCAGCTTAGAAAATCATCCTCAGTGGGTTAAAGCCTCTGCCTTCGGCTCAGGTCATGATCTCAGGGTCTTGGGATCGAGCCCCGCATCGGGCTCTCTGCTCAGCGGGGAGCCTGCTTCCTCCTCTTTCTCTGCCTGCCTCTCTGTCTACTTGTGATCTCTGTCTGTCAAATAAATAAGTAAAATCTTTAAAAAAAAAAATCATCTGGTTTTCTGTTGATTTCCTTTTTTTCTTTTTCTTTCTTAGGTTCTTCTGTGACCATGAGAGGGAAAAGTAAAGAATGATCCATGATTTTTAAACACCTTGTCTTGAGGATATAGTCATGTTGGAAGGTCTTGTAGCCTGGGTTCTCAATACCTACCTGGGAAAATACGTCAATAACCTGAACACCGATCAGCTCTCTGTCGCGCTTCTGAAAGGTGAGTGCGTGCGTGTATCTCTTTCTGGTAAAGTTTGCCACTGCAGATGGCATTTTTGGTTTTTTTTTTTTTTTTTAATATTCATTTTGTTGTACTGAGAATAATAAAACATAATGCCCAGATGGCTTTGTACTAATTATGTGTAAAAGGAAATATGTTCTCTCACATGACCCTGATTATTATGACTGGGTAACTTTAGTATGTGGCTGTATTGCCATAGATTTTAGGGAACTGTTAAATATGAGAAAGAAAAGGACTATGTTGCTGGTGACTGTGCTTTATCCCAGCTAATTGTTTAGCTTTATGAAGCTTTTTGGAGGTGGCCATGATGTAGTGATGTAGTGACAGTGGCATTGGCCTTGGCTTCAAATCCTGTTGTATTACTTACGAGCTATATGCACAAGCCACTGAAATTCAGAGCCTCAGTTTCTTTAGGAAAAGCGGGTCAGGGATGCTTGGGTGGCTCTTGTCAGTAAAGTGTCTGCCTTTGGCTCAGGTCATGATCCCAGGGTTGCGAGCCCCACGTTGGGCTCCCTGCTCAGTGGGAGGTCTGCCTCTGCCTCTCCCCCTTCTCATGCTCGCTCTCACTCCCTCTCTCAAGTAAGTAAATAAAATCTTAAAGAAAAGGAAAAGTGGGAAAGGTACTTCTCCAGGGTTGCCGTAAGGCTCACATGGATCAAACGGAATGACATTTACAGCTCCTGTCTGCCTAGTGTGTAACAGACACCAAGTTGAAGCTTTAAAATATGTTACTGTGGGGTCTTTGATAGACTAAAGCTCGAGTCACGTTCACAGGCCTCTCCCTGGTGAGTGCCGAGACGTGATTGAATGCAGTGCGGGGAATTGGCGTGAGGATCAGAAAACCGCTTTGTTTTTCCTTTTCCTTGTTTTAATGTAAGTTCTCTTTGCTCAACTCAAAATGGAGCTCCTGAGCAAATCTAGAGAGAGGAGATAGTCTGCAAGCATGTAGCAGCCCAAAAAGTGGAAAGGGGATCTCAGACATGCGGGAAGCTCGCCTTCCTGAGGATGTGGATTTTGGCATGTGGACCAGGACAGGTTAGTGGGCATGGCAGTGGTACAGACTGGTGGGGTCTGTGAAGAGGGTGTCCGTGGCTCGCTTGTCCCCAGGAGTGTTGTTTCCATGTTTTTCTGACCCATCTAAACCTGTGCAAGGATTGTGGCGTCCATAGGCTGTAGGGAGCTCTCTGCTCGCCCCGCCCACTCCCTTCCTTTTATTGGAAACAGAAGTAGGTTTTTTCTTCCATCTCTAACTTCTGTCCTGACCTTTTCCTTCTGTCCTTAGAAGGGAGCTACTAAGTACAAGGTGAGAGTGACCAGTCTGTCAGGGAAGAGGATGTGTTCAAAGTGCAAGAGGAGTGTCAAGCTCACCTCTTGGGTCACTTACTGAAGTTCTCGTACACGCTGTGAAGCTATCCAGGTTGCACAGGGCAGGGAGCCGAGAAAGGGAAGCGCAGACCATAACCTTGTTAATGACAGAAATAGGATGTTTGCGGAAGAAATGAGTAGAGATTTGTGGTATCCGATGTATCATGTACTCTACACTAAACAGATTTCTGATCTGTTTTTGAGTATATCTCGTAATGACAACTGTGTGTATCTCTCTGATGCTTCAAAGTGCTTTTCTGTGCTTCCTGTTTAAAAAATACTCTCTTTGCAGAATAGAAAAATAATTTTTCTTTCATAACCAGTATTAGTGTGGTGCCCCATCCCTATGGATTCAAGGCACCCCACAAAGCTTAGAGCCCTGAGCATCGCAGTTGCAGGTGAGCACCGTTTGGAGGCAGGGGGTCCTGCAAGGGAATAAGAATGTTATTTCAGTCTGTAGATGTTCAGTGTCTGAGACGCCAAGAAGACAGAGCTAGTGGTCAAGACTCTGAATTTTATAGCCAGACTGTTTTGTTTGTTTGTTTTTAGAGAGAGAGAGAGAGAAAGCGGGGACTGGTGGTGGGGGTTGTGGTGCAGAGGGAGAGAAAATCTTAAGCAGGCTCCTTGCACAGCGCAGAGCCCAGCTTGGGGCTTGAGCTCATGACCCTGAGATCACGACCTGAGCCGAAATCAAGAGTCAGACGCTTAACTGACTGAGCCCTCCAGGCGCCCCAGTCAGACTGATTTTGAATCCCATTTCCTCCATTTACCAGTAACTTGGACAGATTATTCCAATTCTTCGTGAATTTTCAAATTCTTCTTTTCTGTCGATTGGAGAGAATATGAACTGTGTCACGAGGTTCTGAGGACTAGACATGAATGTAGATCTGAGAGCTTAGAGCCATTCTGGGCGTGTAGTGGGCCCTCAGTCAGTCACCATGTCCCGTTGTCATGATCATCACCATATGATTGGCTTGGCTGGGACTTCAGGGGTGGTTTGTGCACACGTACTAAATGTAATAAAAATGCAAAATAGCAAATGAGTATTCGAAGGAGAGAGAACTTGTATATGACTTTATTTGTTCCGTCTCTCTGCAAACACCACTGAGCGCCTGCTTTGGGTACGGACGGCTCTGTGTTATGGACTGATAGAAAACATGGCGAAAGGAGAAGATACCAGGAGCTCAGGCATGGGGTCTGAGCCTGGTCTCTCCACCTAACAGCTGTTTGTGACTGAGCAAGTTACCTAAGCCTCCTCCTGCCACTTGAGATCAGACAGACCTGGTACGAACTATAGTCCTATAGTTACCAGCTTGGTGATTTTTTTTTTTTTTTTAATATTTTATTTATTTATTTGCCAGAGAGAGAGCTCAAGCATGGGGAGCAGCAGAGGGAGCTGCAGGGGAGAGGGAGAAGCAGGCTCCCTGCTTAGCAGAGATCCCAGTGCGGGGCTCGATCCTAGGACCCCGGGATCATGGCCTGAGCGGAAGGCAGACGCTTCACCCACTGAGCCACCCAGGCATCCTAGCTCTGTGATTTTTAAGCAAATTGCTTACCTGTGCACCTAATTTTCCTCACCTCAGAGTGCAGAACAGGATGGCATTTCCTCATATTGTTGGGAGGTTTCGGTGACTTGGTGGGGATAAGTGCTCGGCTCTAGTCCTGATCTTACTGAGTGGTCGCTGTTCCTGTCCTTTGACCTCGGCAGTCCCTGTCCTCGGACACCCGTAACCTTGCTGGACATGCCAGGCGCTGTCAGTTGTTCCACTAGAGCTGCAGGCACAGCATGGGTGGGGGGGGAGGTGTGCAAAGCAGGGGAGTCCTTCACCCCGTTGGCAGGACTCTGGGGAGGGATGACCGCGGGAGCCAAGCAGGAGTTGGGCTGGTGGCGCCGGGTGGGCACTGCATTCCCGGTGGACTGACCCTTGTGAGCACAGGCAGGAGGCGGAGAACTCACCAGGCCTGTTCGGGATGGTTTGAGGCCAGAAGGTAGCAGCTGCTGATGTCACATCAGGGGCCCTGAGCTTCGGGCTGCGGGCCTATCTGTGTTTGTGGCCCAGCACTTAGGGCCCCTCCTTTTTGTTCCTATCAGCTCTTCACCTCAGGCTGGCTTTCTGGGTGACGCAGGGCTGCGGGAAGAGAGGCCAGCAGTCATCAGTGCTGACCGAAAGGCCACCAGCCTCTAGGTGTACCCCAGTTTTAGGGCCTCCGCTTCTTGTTCTGCTAAGCGGAGGCGTTTTGGGAGGAGACGTCCGGGAATAAGCCTGCACGTTATCTGCCCGGAAAGAAACGAAGAGCGTTGTCATTTATAAAGTCCTCCCGACTCTGGGTCCCTTGAGGGACCTTTCCCGGCAGGGCCAGGTGTGGGTGCAGATTTGAGTGGGTGGGGCATCAGCGAGCCTTCCATCCAGAACCACTGACCCGCTGGCCACTGCTGCTGTTTTGCCTGATTCCTTTGTTTCTGTAATGCTGGAGGCTGCGCTTCCTTCTTGTCCTTTCCCTGGGTTCTTCCCCTTCCTAGAGCACCTCTCCCGCTCTCCTGCAGTTCAGCGTTCGTTTCTCCCAGCGTGGGCTGCCTACCGTTCCTTCCACTTCTCCAAGGTGCACAGCAGCCAAGGAAACCTAGTGCCGTCTGCCTTTGTGACAGATTTGGGGATTGGAAAATAGGGCAAATGATTCAAATTGCAAATGATGCTCTTCAAAAGAAGAAACCATATGCTTTCCCCCTTTAAGTCAGTTTCCACTGTTGAGGAACAAGTTTCATGCCACCCCCCCCCCGTGATCATTTACTCCCCAAATGTGGAAATAGAGTTGTTTCCGGGCTCTCTGGGGTTATTAACTTCTCCTTTTGGTTAGTCTTAGGTTATGTGGGGGCCCTTGTGGGGACTCATGTTCCTGTAAAAGTCTAAAATGTAAGCTGATTGCATTTGCCCAGCATCTGCAGAGCTACTGGATTTGAATACCTTAGAAACCAATTACCCGCAAGTCTTGAGTAGTCATTTAAAGGAAAAAATAATTGCTTCTTGTATTAGTTTGTCTTTGGCTGGCCTGCCTCTCTTCTGAGTTCCTGTACCAGTGGCTGCTGGGTGGTTGTCTGTACTCCCTGTTCCCAGAAATTGCCTTAAGTTGGGCAAACAGTTTTGCAGAATGATGTCTGTCTCCTCCGCCCTTTAGAATGGGGACCCTGCCTTCTCGTTTCATATTCCCAGCGGCCAGCACAGTGCCTGCTGGAGACTGGGGGGTGGTGTGTCAGTGTGGACGGGTGACTTCCACAGCTGGGAGAGTGAGGCAGGGAGCTTTGGCTGTTCAGAGACGTCTCATAGCTCTCGGCTTAAGTCCTATAAAAGCTGGGTCTGCAAGGGACCTTCAGCAGTGGTTTGTTCTGTGCCCTGGAACGGGTGATGAAGCCTGCAGGCACAGACGTGGACCAGAGCATGTGGAGCGGGTCTGTCCAGAAGGGAGAGTGGAATTCTTTTTGATGGCCAATTTTATTGAACTCTTATGGGCTCCCAGATGTTGTGTGCGATAGACCCATTTGTTGGGGGGAAGGGGGATGGCTGGAGCTTATTAAAAATGGCAAATTTCTGTGTTTCAATCCCAGCGGATATCTCGCAGGAGGCCCTGGAGCCTGCATTTCTTCCCAGGTGGCCCAGATATTAATGGTGGTCTGGTGAATATTCGCCTAAACTAGGGGTCTGCACACTGGCCAGCTGCCCAAATTCAAACTGAGAATGGTTTTTATATTTTTAAAGGCTTGTAAAAAAAAGAAAAACAACAACAAGAGAGAGAGCATACAACAGATACCATAAAGCTTGAAATATGTACTATCTGGCTTATAGAAAAAGATCGCTGCCGACACCCTTCACCTGCTGGTGAGCTTCCGCTGTCAGAGTGGGATGGGCAGGAAACTGGTACAGACAGAGAACACAGGCTGGTCGCTGTGCCATTCCTGGCTTTTTCTAGCCAGGCTGAGCTGTAAAACTCCCTTTAACCTTCAAAGATTTGCACACAGTAGGTGCCTACTGCCTGTGTTGGGCGAACAGTTCACGCTGTTATTTTATTTTTCAGGTGCTGTTGAGTTGGAAAACTTGCCCTTAAAGAAAGATGCCTTGAAAGAACTGGAGTTACCATTTGAAGTCAAAGCCGGTGGGTAGAACTCTGCGGGAGAGGGACGTGGTCCTCCACTGCTTCTTCCACTGCTTGGGACAGGAAAACCAAGAGTCCTTGAGTTTGGCTGTGTTTGAACAGGAAGAGGCAGGATAGGAAGTAGAATCGATCAGTCCTCAAATGTGGCCTTTTCTATCAGGATGATCTTGGGGCAGCAGTGGGGAGGTCAGGTGTTTCCCAGACCTACGGAATCAGAACCAAGCATGTGTCATTGAACTTGTATGTTTAATAAGTGCCGTTGGTTATTCTTACGTTTCTTGAAGTGTGAGAACTTCTGTCCTAGATATGGAGGTTCTTGTTTTTGGAGAATTCATAATATTACTGAGAGATAGTTTATTGAATGGAAGGTACACTCTGGAACGGTGTGCTTGGGTATATACTCCATTATCTGCTGTGTTCTGGCAGTGTGGCCTTAGGGAAGTTGCCTCACCACTCTGTGTGTGCTTCTTAGTCTCTAAGAGGAGGTGATAATCCTTCTACCTACAGCAGAGGGTTACGGAGAGGAAGACGTGAGTTAATGCATCAAAATTACTTGGAACAATGCCTGGCACACTCAGTAGAGGCTTACAGCTAGGATAGGAGTTCTGCAGTTCCTAGGTTTGATGAGGAAACAAGAGTTGTCCTGGAATAAAAATATTCTTAGTTGGGGTGCCCGACTGGCTCGGTCAGTGGGGCCTGTGACTCTTGATCTCGGGGTTATGAGTTCGAGCCCCATGATGGGTGTAAAGATTACTTAAAAATAAAGTCTTTAAAAAATTCCTTATTAAATGGCCATGTGTAAAATTAGTCCCTATTCCGATACCCGGTCATGATTCAGTAATAGCCTGTTGATGCCAGTCTTTCCATTATTTTGGGTACTTGTATTACAATAAAATGCAAGTACAATGCAATTGTTGCTAGGTGGAGTAGGGTAGAAATCTTGCAAAAGACTTTAGGCTTTCTTGAAGTCAGTTCAAGGGATGGGTAAACTGTCAGAATCATAGAGACACTGACAAGTTAGAATCTGAAAGAAACTCAGGAATGATGATACCCAGGGTACTTCCACAGATTATTATTTGAATATCAAAGGATTAGGAGAGGCTCTTAGGGAATATTGATGAAGTTTCCTAATATTTTTGCAAAAATGACCCTGTTTGTACTTGTTCTGCAAAAATTAAATGAAATTGAATAGTAACAGAGGTTCTTTTTTTTTTTTAGGATTTTATTTATTTACCTGACAGAAATCACAAGTAGGCAGAGAGGCAGGCAGAGAGAGAGAGGGGAAAGCAGGCTCCCTGCTGAGCAGAGAACCCGATGGGGGGCTCGATCCCAGGACCCTGGGATCATGACCTGAGCCGAAGGTAGAGGTTTTAACCCACTGAGCCACCCAGGCACCCCAATAACAGAGGTTCTCTTTTGCTGTCACCTTCCTTATCAAACATGCCCCTTGCCCCTAATAACTTAGATTAGAATTGCAACTGTGCACCAATTATTATTAAACTCTTTGTGGTGAAAATTTGTATTTGGCTTCAGTTATTAAATAGAAAAAATTTACTTTCATTTTTCGAGATAAAATCCAAAGGAAAACATTTTTTCATTATTTATTGCCACATTTCTTAATTTATTACACAAGCACTTGGTGTTAATATTGTCTTATCTTCAACAGATCAGTTGCACTTGAATTCTAGGTCCTAGAGGGTAGCGATTATTCTGGTAACGTGTGTTCTTTCAGAGGGAGCATACTGGTTGGGCCATGTGGATCTTCGAGAGATCCCTTAGGACAGTTCAGATACTCTTACGTGTTATTCCTTAGTAGTAACTTGGCTCTTATTAACTGAATTTAAAGAAGACCTGTGTCCTAGGAGACTTGGCCAGAAATGGTAGGGCTTGGGAAATCAGTATCATGGTTCTAGCCAGTTTCACGTCAGTCCGGGTTTTTATGAAGAATCAGGATTTAGAATTATTACCCATGTTTCAGTTGGTATGTTTAAGACTGGACATACTCAAAGTCTGGTAGTTCCCAAGAAGTGGTTCTCAACCAGCCCATGAATAATGGACAAGAAATGAGTTTCGAGCTCATGGGCTTGGGCAGGTGCTTTGGGGAGAAAGACACTCCAAGGAAGTTTAAGAAGTAGTTCAGTTGGGGAAGAGGCACTTCGTGGAGGAGGGCTGTTGCATTTGATAGGGTCACACTGGGCTTTTTCTTTTTTTCCTTTCTTTTTAAGATTTTTTTTTTTTTTAATTTGAGAGAGAGAGAGATAGAGATAGCAACAGAGATAGTGAGAGAGAGAGAGCACAAGTGGGGAAGGAGAGGGAGAAGCAGGTTTCCCTCTGAGCAGGGGAAGCAACACAGGGCTCGATCTCAGGACCCCAGGATTATGACCTGAGCCAAAGGCAGACGCTTAACCCACTGAGCCACCCAGGCGCCCCTGCACTGGGCTTTTTATTGTGCCTCGTTCTTACAGATCTCAGCCTACTAACTTTCTGTTTCCCATGTATGAGAACCTGCTGCCTGTTCTCTTAGTTTAAAAAATAAGTGGTAAAAGTCCCTATGCTTCTTACAGAAAACTAAAAGAATACAGAAAAAACGTAGGAAGTGAAAACGTATATGGGCACTTGACAAGACTTTGCTTTCCCCAGGCCTGATTGGGAAGGTAACGCTTCAGATTCCCTTTTACCGCCCCCACGTGGACCCTTGGGTGATCTCCATCTCCAGCCTTCACTTAATTGGAGCCCCTGAAAAGCTAGAGGATTTCAACGATGAGAAGGAGAAGCTCCTGGAGAGGGAGCGCAAGAAGGCTCTGCTCCAAGCCCTGGAGGACAGATGGAAGGCAAGGCACACCCCCTCGGCCCCCAGACCCGCTGCGTGAGACAGAAGATAAGAGCAGAGCACTGGATTTGGCTAACCCCTGCTCTTTCCTTTGTAGAACGAACGCCAGCGGAAAGGGGAGTCCTACTGGTACTCAGTCACCGCTTCCGTAGTTACGAGAATTGTGGAGAATATTGAAGTAAGTCCTGGCTTTGGTAAAGTATGAACAATGACAGGGAGACTTCTCAGGCTTAACTGTACTGTGCCTCTCAGTACCTTGTTTCTCGTGGGTTCCACCGAGCCGGGGTGTACAGAGCCTTCGCTGACGCTGACGGCTCAGGCGTGCCCTCTTCTAGGCAGTGTCCAAGGAAAACCTGAAAAGCTCGTCTCCAGCTCCGGCCAGACAGGTTTTTCTTGCTTCAGCTCGTGTGAGTAGGAGTTTTCCTTTCACTCATATTTCGTTTTGTTTTTGAACGTTGGACTCTTACTTGCTAAAAGGATGTGTACCTCCTTAGAAGCTGGGCCACCGAAGCCTTCATGACTGATCATTTCAGGGCAAATCACTTCACCTCTCTGGTCTTGGTTTCTTTCAGTAACACAAGGAAGGTTGCATACGTGCTTTCTAGGTGGTTACATAGTGAACGACCAACAGCCCGTGGAGGTGTTGAGTCTCTCCCTGATGGATCTGGTGGCGGTTTGAGGGGTTACGATGTCAGGGCTGTTGGCCATGTTTTCTGCTTTAATTACAGCTTTGTTCCATCCTTAAAGACTAGATCAGGGTCCATACTAATTTTTATGAGTGCCGTAATAGTGAGCCTGTACTTAGTACCTGTGGCGTTTTCCTGCAGTGCTAAGGTACAGAGGCCAGATGGTTTCAAGGTATACGACTTCCCTGCCGAAAGCAGTCTGAGGTTGTTGGTTTTGTAACTGTCATAATGTTGACAAAGAGATTGGTACATTTTAGGGGAGTGCTTTGAATTCTGTTTCAGGCAGTTTTATATATATATTTAGCTGTCATTTTAAATAACCCATCATTATTATTTTTACTAATAGCTTTATTGAGATTTAGTTCACATCCCTTAAAGTTTACCCCTCTAGTGTGTACACTGTAGTGTTTTTACAGGGTGTTTACAAAGTGCCTAGATTGCCACTCCGTAATTCCAGACCACTTTCATTACCCCCAAAAGAAACTCCATACCCACTTAGTAGCCACTCCCGTTTCTCCTCTCCCTCCAGCTCCACACAACCACTAAGCTTTCAGGTTAGTGTTTTGGACATTTCGTATCCATGTGATCCTACGCTGTGTGGCCTTTTGTGTCGGGCCTCTTGCACTTAGCGTCATGCTTTCAAGGTCCCTCCATGTTGTGGCACGGACCAGTACTCGATTCCTTTTTATGACCGAATAATGGATTCGGTCAGAGACGTGGACGGTCAAAGATAAAGTTGAATGTTTGTGAAAGCGGTGAAAACAGATTTTATTTAGGAACTGCTGACAGAAGGGGAAAGAGCAGAGCTCTGTTCCAAATTACACAGAGGCGGCAGGGCCTTTTAAAGGGAGAGTGAGGCAGAGGGTCCTGTGGGGGAGGGCTCAGGTGGAGAATGACGAAGGGTCAGTGTCCCCGTGATAAGGCCAGCTGTATCTGCTGGCTGGGCTTCTGTGCTCCCGCAGAGGCTGAGACTGAGAGACGGGCCCTGTCCTCCCTGATGATTGCATTTCAAAGGAATGGCTCTCAGGTCCTCGGTTATAGGGGATACATACACATCTCACAGGGACAGAGAAAGGATTCACAATTGTAAGCCCTTTTTGGTAAAGGCACTGGGAAAGGAAGGTCAGGGACCTATTGTCAGGCTTAGGCTGGAACAAACAACCCTGAGCTTTTCCAGACGGAACACGGAATGAGGCTGGAATGCCCCAGCGATGCAGGCTTAGGTCCTAGAAGCCGTGTTAAATATGGTCCCATCTCTCAGTGCAGCAGGTTGAGTGGAGCGTTCTTACCGAGAGGTTTTGTGGGTTTGGGGATCTACTGCATTTCGTTTATCTGCTCATCAGTTGATGGACATTTGGGTTGTTTCCACTTTTTGCCTCTTATGACTAATGCTGGTGTCAGCCTTCATGTATATGTTTTTTTTTTTTTTGTGAATGTATGTTTTCAGTTCTCCTGACTAGATACCTGGGAGTGGAACTGTGGGGGTTATATGGTAACTATTTAATTTTTCGAGGGACTTGCAAACTGTTTTCCAAAGAGGTCACACTGTTTTACAGTTTCACCGGTGATGTAGGAACATTTTAATTTCTGCACATCCTCACTGATACTTGTTGTCTGTCTTGTGGTAATAGCCACAGTAGTGGGTATGAGGAACTACCTTGCTGTGATTTTGATTTGCATTTTCTTACTGGCTAATGCTGAACACCTTTCCATATGCTTATGGTCACGTGTATATCTTTTTTTGGAGAAATGTCCATCCAGAGCCCTTTTTCATTAAAAAAATGGTTTATTTGTTTTTTATTGTTGAGTGTTTTGTTGTTGTTGTTTTTAGAGATTTTATCTATTCGAGAGAGCACAAGCAGCGGGGAGGGACAAAGGGAGAGGGAGAAGCAGGCTCCAAACTAAGCAGGAAGCCCGATGTGGGCCTCTATCCCATGACCCTAGGATCATGACCTGAGCTGAAGGCAGATGCTTAACTGTCTGAGCCACCCAGGTGCCCCAAGAGCTCCTTATATATTTTGGATTCTAGTCAGTTATCAGGTACATGATTGGCAAATGTTTTCTCCCATCCTGTGGGTTGTCATTTCACTTTCTGTTACAAGTTTTAATTCACTGAAGCAGAGTGTCTTTTTTGTAGCCCACCTCCAGGAGCCAGGGGAAATGAATAAGTATAACATATATGTGTCCTTTTGGTGTTCCTGTGTCTAGGTGCGGGGACACAGAGGCAAGATTAAGATACCATAAGAGAGGGCAGGCCAGTTATCTAGATCCGGCAGTATTTCTTTTGGTGTTTTTTTTTTTTTTAAGGGGTCTTATGAAATGGTTTAATATTAGTATTAAATAAAATACTAGTTTTATATTAGTATTGTAGCTCTTATCTGGAGGTAGCACCAAACACAAAGAAATGTCGTTCACGTCCTTTGTGATCTTAGCTCTCAGGACTGTGGTTGTAATTCTCATAGCATTGGACATGTGTGTGCTGTAAGCATTTGTATAAACTGCCAGCTCTGACTTTCTAGTGCTCAAGGGCAGTTTGATGTCTGCCTGTAGTATTTCTACCTGTAGCACATCTAAAAGTGTTCTCCTTTGTTCTCCCCCCTGCAGTTAAAAATTCAAGATGTCCATTTGCGCTTTGAAGATGGTATTACCAATCCGTCCCATCCTTTTGCATTCGGCATCTGTATTAAGAATGTGTCTGTGCAGAATGCTGTGAATGAGCCTGTGAGTATCAACTGTGCTTGCAAACTAGGAAGAAAGCACTGGGTCTTGGGAATTTGGGGCTCTGCCTTTGGTCATTTCATGTTCCCTAAAGGAGGCCGTGTTCTTGATCACCATGTTCTTTGGCGGTAATGTTCTTGATCACCATGTTCTTTGGCGGGAATGTATGTTTCTTGTCTGTGTCAACAGATTAATTTGCCGAAGTTGGGAAATGTCCAGTTTTCTCTGACCTTTCTTTATTTCATTCTTATGTTAAGTGTTGATGTGATCCCTTTCATTTTGTGCACAAAGAAACTGAGTCACAGAAAGGGTTTCAGCTTTGACTTTTTTCTCATGCTATGTGTACTCCCAGGGTAAGCTCATTCTGTTTCAGAGAATCAGCCATGCCCTGGGAATATTGCTGATGCCTTCCACATCTTGAACCCTGTATCCACCTCCCTTCTGACCTCCTCGTTCGTGTCTTTAATTACCTATGGGACACCTCTGTGGTGTTTTAGGCTTGTCATAAGCAAAATTATACCGTTATGTTCCACTGGCCCTTTATACTTCCCTGAAACCAATGTTTCCCCTTTATTCTCTCACATGTTACTGAATGTTAAACAAAACTAACATCTTTTGAGCACTTTTATGTGCCAGACACTGTTCTTAGTGTTTTACATGATTTGCCTCATTGGATTCTCAGTACTTTTCACCCCCACTGTTAACCTCACATTGCATACAGCTAAGTATGCCAGGGCACAGAGGGGTGGAGTGGCAGAGCCGGGTCTCGAACCCACATGGACCAGCTGCAAAGTGGGGGTTGGCAAACGGCGGACTGTAGAGCAAAGCCCCTCCATTCTCTGTTTTTGTCCATAAAGAATGACTGGATCACAGCCACACCTGTTGTTTACGGATTGTTTGAGGCTGCTTTTCTGCTCCAGTGGGCAGAGTTGAGTTGTTCCAGTGGAAACCATGTAGTCCACGAAGCCTTCCTATGTGCTCTCTGACCCTTGCCGGAAAAAGTTCGCCCCCCCCCCTGCTGCGGAGCATGGGTCCTCAGCCACTGTGCTCAGCTCCCCAAGCCTGTGCTCAGCCTTCTGGTTCTTATTCCTCAACCTCAGTATCCATCTGCTCCCAGCATCCTGCCAGTTTTCCTTGCAAAGTGTCTCAAATATGTCTCTTCTTGTCGTCCTCACTTCAGGACCCTGTAAGCTTTGGCCTGAGCTCAAACATCCGGTTTTCATGACTTCCTTGCTTCCATACCAGGCCCTCAATTCTTTCTAACGCAGTGCTTGCCCGTCTCTTCCACACCACGGCACACCGCATTTGGCCAAGGCCCTGGGGCCAATGCATGCAGCTGCTGGGGGCTGGAGGTGGTGAGCCAGATAGTTCTAAATGTAACCTGAGCCTATAAACGTGCCCATCTCCCAGGACACTCACGACTCTTTTTCTCTAGCACACCAAGGAGGGAAGCTCCACTTTGCACTGTTGCCAGAGTCCTTCCTGTTCCTCAGACACATCCCTGACCATGCTGGCAGGCCTGCACCGCAGCCCTCAGTGGCTCCGTGTCTCTTGAAGTATCGAGTACAAATTCCTTAGTGCGGCATAGACTGCCTTTCCTAGCGTATTCGTTTCCTAGGGCTGCCTTAAAAAGTCACCATAAGTGAAATGGCTCAAGATGACAGAAATTTATTCTCTTTAGTTCTGGAGGCCTGAAGTCCAGAATTCAGGTGTTCGCAGGGTCAGTTTGTCTGGAGGCTCTGCGGGAGAAGCCGTCCCTCCTTGCTTCTGGTGGTTGCCGTCGAGTTTCTTGCCTCCTGGACACGTGCCTTCTGTCTTTGTCTCCATCTTTCTCCCCTGGGTGTCTGCCTTCTCTTCTTAGAAGGACCCCCATCATTAGACCAGGGCCCACCCTCATCCAGTATGACCTTGTTTTAATTGGATTACATCTGTAAAGACTCTGTTTCGAGTAACATCCCCTTCATAGGTTCTAGGAGGTCATGAATTTCTGGGGGTGGGGGGGACTTCACCCAGGACACCTAGTAGCGTTGCAAGCTGCTTTCATTAGCACTTGATTCCCCACTCCAAGTGTGTGTACCAGTCCTGCCCTCCCACCGTGAGTGCGGTGCTCCCGTCACACAGATGTAGTTGCCGTCCTCTGAAGACACCAGGCCGTCTATGCGGTGGACCTGACGCTTCGACGTGTGTCCCCATCCTTGCCTCCTACCCTGCCTGGTGTCCAAACCATACACATCTCTTGAGGCTTATCCACGTGGCGACATTTTCTCTTTTGCTTGCTCATAGCCTCTCGTGTATTTTTCTTCTGCTTCCCTCTGCTTTGTTAAAACTGTTGCATGTTTGTGTCCCCATTTAGCTTTTTTGAACACTTTTGATTTTGAACACTGTCAGAGCAAAACCATGTTTTAATTCAGTTTTTTATCCCCAGCACCCTTGCACAGTGCCAGTGCATGCCTCCTCAGAAATGGTTGTTGAATGGATGGATGAGTTTGTGAATACAGAGAGTCATGTTTGTTTCCTTCCCTGTTTTACCGCAGGTACAGAAGTTAATGCGGAAAAAGCAACTAGACGTGGCAGACTTCAGCGTCTACTGGGATGCCCACTGCACTTTGTTGGGGGACTTGCCCCAGGTGGAGTTACAGGTAGGATTCCGGCAGAAAGCTCTGTGGGAACGCAGCACGGAAGTAAAGAGTGTGGGGGCCCCCGCCACATAGGTTTCTGTTCTCTGTGGCTCTGGTCACCATTCCCATGTCCCTCTTCCTCCGCGGGCCTCCGATGTCTAGTGGGTTTGCTTGACGTACTTCATCTGCATGTAGTTCAGAACAATATATAGTGTTTTGTGTATGTTTCATGTTTGTATCGTAGGCTAGGTTTCTTGGTTTTCTTTTTTTTCCACTTAAAGCTGTATTTTTAAGATCGATTAATGTTGCTGTTTCTATTTCTGGTTCATTGCTTCTGACTCCTGCACTGTATTCTGTGGCATACATCTATCGTACTTACATATTCTTTAAACCATCACAGACTCGATGTCCGGATTTTAAATGAACAAAACACCAGCTCTGACTCTTAAAGAAGAGCTTTCTTACTCTATGTATATTGGAACTTCACCTGTGGTGGTATTCCTTTAAGAGATACTTAGAAAGGCATTAAAATCATGGGACATAAAGTATTTTTGTTTGTGAAGGATAAGAAATTCTGAGTTTAATCTTTTGGTAAAGAAATTGTGGGTGGTTTAAGTAGAATGTGGAAAAAGGACTTATTTTTCCCCCTTATCTAAGATTTTCTTTGGCTTGCATGCTGCTGTATAGAACGGTTTTGTTTTGCTAATTTGATGAAATAAATACTGTACATCCATATAGAGAACCATACGCAGTTATAGAAAATAAGAACAAAGATCTTTACGATAACTATGGAATAGTCTCTGAAGTTTAGTATTAAGTTTAAAGAACTAAGGTAGGACAGCATGCGTGCCATTTGTGTGAGAATGGTTAAAAAACCAGAAAATCATGGATCTGTCTGAACACAGGCAGAATGCCTCTGTGCGATACAGAAGAAACTGCTATTATTGGTCGCCTCTGGGGAGAATAATTGGGTGGCTGGAGGATGGGAACCAGAAGGAGATATTTCACTTTTCTTTTTAAAGATTATTTATTTATTTATTTGACAGACAGAGATCACAAGTAGGCAGAGAGGCAGGCAGAGAGAGAGAGGGGAGAAAGCAGGCTCCCTGCCGAGGAGAAAGCCCGATGCGGGGCTCGATCCCAGGACCCTGGGATCATGACCTGAGCCAAAGGCGGAGGCTTTAACCCACTGAGCCACCCAGGCGCCCCGATATTTCGCCTTTTTTTGCCTTTCAGTTTTGAACCACGTGAATGTTTTACCTGATAAGAGATACAAATAAAATTTTAAAAAATGCTAGAGAGCTTTTAGATTCCTAGTTTTGTCCTCGTTTGGGATTCTGAGGTAATACGCTGTAAGTTACATAGTATACCAGCTTGTGACTTGAACCTGAAAACATTCACCACGAGGACAGACATTCTTGTGACCCGCAGGAGGCCATGGACAAGAGCATGGAGAGCCGCGCGCATCACTACATCCTGGAGCCCGTGTGCGCATCTGCTCTCTTGAAGAGAAACTGCTCCAAAGAGCCCCTGAGGTCTCGGCACAGCCCCCGGATCGAGTGCGACATTCACCTGGAGACCATCCCCTTGAAACTCTCTCAGGTACTCTCTTTCTGCCCGGTGGCTTCTCCTCTTCCTGGGGGACCAGTAATGGGGGCTAAGGAAGCGCAGTGATAGAAGGCTCTCAATACTTCATGGCACCCCAGCGGGAAAGAAAGTGCCCGGGAGACCAGTGTCGTGGCCGGTGTAGCACCTGCTGCGTGTCATACGGTGGGACTGGGCTGCCGTCCGGTTAGTTTTGATTTGGTTCTGAAGCACAGGCCAGAGTCCGGGACGTGCAGCGAACAGGAGTACTGCACTGTCCGTGGTCAGAGAGAAGGGCCACGTGATGCTGAAACGTGGTCTTGGGTGCGCCCTGGATTTCCATTCAGTGGCCTGACCAATACAGATTGTCCTCAGTAGAGATGGGCGTCAACCGAGTAGAAGAAACACATCAGTGTTAACCTAGTTACTCTCTCTTAACCTCTGCTGAAAAGCTGCAGTACCGGCAGATCATGGAGTTCCTCAAGGAGCTGGAACGAAAGGAGAGGCAGGTCAAGTTCCGAAGATGGAAGCCCAAAGTGGCTGTGTCTGAGAAGTAAGGGCTTGTGGTGACCTGTGCCCCTGACGTGCATTGTGGAGCGTGGCTGCCCTTGTCCGTGGGTCAGAAATGGGCCTCACTGTCCCTGGCATGTGGCTGGAGCTAAAATACAGTTGATTTTTTTGACCTTTGAAGAGTCATCTCTGTGGTTGACCTGCATGGATGTTCTTACTGTCTGTTTTGTTGGTGTTGTGGGTTTGCTCCCAGGTAGAGCATGGGGGAGTTAAAGTCCTCTCCGTCTCACTTAGCAAGTACACCAGTGCTGCTCTCGTGGGATTCGACTGTGTAGGCAGTAACTTCATAGTGATCTCTGAGCCTGCTCCCCTGTGTCCGTGCTCCCGTACTGTCCGGGCAGCATTTAGGTAGCACACCTGATAACTTAGGTAGCAAAAATCAGTCTTTTTCTGTTGCAGTGATAGACTGGGCTGGGCCAGTGTATTAAAAATTTTCAAGATCCTGTGTATTTCCACGGCTTTTCCGAAGTATGCCATTTAAAATCTTTCGTGTCCAAATCCTTGCTAATTATCTTAAGATCGTTTTTACCCTGTGGTCACTGGTTGATTATCTGCCAGTGGACCACACTACTGTTACGGGTGATTCAAACCAATTCCGTAATACGTTATTACTGATGCTGAAGTTGAGAATCTATTATTTGATGTTCTTCGTGTGAAAAGTAATTAACATTGTTATGAAACATCTCAGCTGCCGAGAATGGTGGTATTTTGCTCTGAATGCCAACCTGAACGAGATCAGAGAGGAGAGGAAGCGCTGTACCTGGGACTTCTTGTTGCACCGGGCCCGCGATGCCGTGTCTTACACCGACAAGTACTTCAGCAAGCTGAAAGGAGGCTTGCTGCATGCAGACGACAGGGTAAGGGGACTCTTGTTACCTTCGTTGTTTCTTGGCTTCCAGTGGGAGCATGGGGAGGCGGATCAGTTCCCTCATCAGACTTGTAGTGGTTTGTGAAGGCGTCTGGTTTCTCTGGAGCTCTAAGACCTGTTTTGTTTGTTTTTGTTTTAATCCAAACAGGAGGAGATGCGCCGGATTGAGGAGGAACAGAGCTTTGAGGAGTTGAAGATTTTGCGTGAACTGGTTCATGAGCGATTTCACAAGCAGGAAGAACTGGCAGAGGTAAGACCTCCTCCATGGGAGGGCACGCTCGGACCCTCCACGCTCAGAGAGCCTCAGTTCCGACGTGCTGTGCTTCTCGGTGGGGGTGGCAGGGGGGCGCAGCGGAGAAGAATCCGTGGGACATCTCAGCTTGTTTCTGTCTCTGGGGCCTCATATTTGCTCATTTCTGGTTCACGCAGAGCCTACGAGAGCCTCAGTTGGATTCTCCGGGGGATTCCCCTGGGGACCCGGAAACGAGTGGAGGCAGTGGGATGCTCCAGTACCTTCAGTCCTGGTTTCCTGGCTGGGGTGGCTGGTACGGGCAGCAGACCCCTGAGGGGAGAGTGGTCGAGGGGCTGTCGGCAGAGCAGCACGGACAGTGGACTCCCGAGGAGATCCTAGGTAAGGGGGGTGCAGGCCTTCACTTGCCTGCCCTCGGCTGTCGTGAAGGGAGACGCTTGGTTCATGAAAATTCGTCTGGTATTGGTGCAACGGCCCGTGGTGTTTGTCAAATAAAAGAAGGAGACATTTGTAAAACAGTTCATCTCGCATTCGTAGATTCAGATGGAGGAAGTTTTTGAGAGAGAACTTCGTTTGCAGCTTCATTGCTGCATTGGAATAATGAGCACAGTTTCAGAGCTGAGCGGTGGCGACTGTAAGAGAACGAAGCAAGTTCAGGAGGCTTAAACTCTGAAGCTGGGGGATCAGTCCAAAGCCGCTCTTAGAGCCGTGCTGTGCAACACGGTAGCCGTAGTCACAGATAGGCAACCTATCTATTGATTTATATTTAAAAAAATATTTGATCGAGGGGCGCCTGGGTGGCTCAGTGGGTTAAAGCCTCTGCCTTCGGCTTGGGTCATGATCTCAGGGTCCTGGGATCAAGCCCCGCATCGGGCTCTTTGCTCAGCGGGGAGCCTGCTTCCCCCCGACCTCTGCCTGCCTCTCTGCCTACTTGTGATCTCTGTCAAAAAAAAAAAAAAAAAAAAAAAATCTTAAAAAAAAATTTGATCGAAGCAAACATACATAAAATGCACACACCATACTTACATAGATTGGCGGCTTCCAGAGTGAATATTCCTGTATAACCTGCATGCTGGTAGAGAAATAGAACACAACCAACACCCCAGAGGGCTTTGTGCGTTTTGTATGCTGTCCTGCGTGTTAGTCTTTTTCTTGACTTTTAACACCATCGATTTGTTTACCCATTTTCAAACAGATGGCTATTTAAATTCAGATTAATTAAAATTAAAAGAAAAAAATTCTGTTTTTTTCCTTCAGTTACACTAGGCATGTCAGCCATGGAGCCCAAAGGTGCCTGTTCCTGGTGGTCCCTGAGCCCGCTGTGAGGACATAGAGCATCTCACCGTGTTGGGCAGTGTGGGTTATGCTGGCCTCTGTCCTGAATCTTCACATCCTCTCGGAGAATGAGCTGATAAGATCTCTCTCTCTCTCTTTTTTTAAAAGACTTTTAAAACTTAATTATTTATGAGAGAGGCAGAGGTAGAGGGATGCGGGACTTGATCCCAGGATGCTGGGATCACAACCCGAGTCAAAGGCAGACACTCAACTGACTGAGCCACCCAGGAGCCCCTGATAAGATCTCTTACAAAACACTGGGATCATTTTGCATTGGGGATGAAGCAATTGTTCATGACTTTGGAGTTCTTCCCTGAACAAAGGGGAAAATTGTTCAATAATGTCATCATCACTGTGATCCGTGGGGCCAGTAGCGCTTTTCGACTTTTTCCGTGTGTTCCCCTGACGTCTTTCCTTCCTCACGCTCAGGCACCGAGGAGTTCTTCGACCCCACCGCTGACGCGTCCTGCCTGAGTGCCTACACGAAGCGGGACCTGGTGTTTGCCACACTGAACGTGCAGCTGCAGCGAGGCACCGTGACGCTGCTGCACCAGGAGCCGGGCGGCCCACGGGCCGAGGAGCGCGCCTTCATGCAGCTCGAGTTCTCAGGTGCTGCCCCGCAGAGCCACGGGCTGCTCTCGCCTGGCCCCGGCGTCCGCGCGTGTCTCCCTGGTCATGGTCCTCACGTTCCAGTGGGCTGCTGTGAGCGCGGGATGGTGGGAGGCAGAGTCACTGGGGGAGTGCGGGGCTCGGTGCCTGCGAGCCTCCGATCGGAGCATTCACCAGCTGGTCGGCACAGAGGCCAGTGTTCTGTGTGTCTGTAAAAGACGCTTATTTCATCTGTATTGTGGATTCCCTGATCCCGGACTCGGCCAGCTGCACCGTAACTTGTGCCCCAGTGAAACTTACCTGCTGGAGGGCCTGGCACACAGCGTGGGGGCCGCTGTAAACCGTGACATCACCAACAAAAAGTACAAAAATGCGAACCGCCTGGCACTAAGTAGACCACGAGAGGGGCACATGGGCGCAGCACAATGCTCTCTGGGTCACCCGTGGCTGTGAGCGTGCACTTTAGATGACTCAGATTTGTTTCTGCTGCGCACATGTCCTCAGAACCACCGAGAGGCTGGATTGCGGGGCTGTGAATTAGTTTTAGTGAGTAGGTGAATTCACAAACATGGAACCCACAGATACTGAGGACAGGCCGTGTTTGACATGTTTGTGACTGAATTAAAGGTGTACTACACAGATGCTGGTTTTTTTACATCTCACACAGACTTTTATTTCAGTGTAGAAAATAGCTGCTTATCTCAGTAATTTAAAGGTAAACAACCAAAAAGAAAAAAAAAAAGCCAGTTTGTTTGATTTTATCATCTTGAGAGCGGACGTATCATCAGCTTAGCGTGAACCAGCAGATGGCTTGAACTCAATGGTTACATGTTCTGTTTAGAATTCATTCTGCGGGGAAACTTCTGATAGTCCGTATGTAGTTACAGAGAGAGACTTATACAGACCCAGTGATACATGGATAGGATTTTTAGTTCTACTTTGAAGGAAAAAGACATCACAATATTAACCGTCCTCTGTAAAATATTACAGCTTAGACTTGTAAGATACTTTTGGTTTTCATGGTGTAGTATCAACTCTTACGCTGGTATATTTGTAGGTGTGAAGCTGCTAGCAGAGTCTCTTCCTCGAAGAAATTCCTCCTTGCTCTCAGTCCAGTTGGGTGGACTGTTTCTTCGAGACCTGGCCACAGAAGGCACCATGTTTCCCCTTCTGGTGTTCCCGAATTCAGTACGTACGGCAGTGGGATGGCTGCTCTGTCCCGGGTGGGGTGGACTGTCTTAGGTGAGCAATAGGTAATACTAACTCAGTTCATTCTGACATTTGGTCATGTTGAGAAAGATGGGCTGATTAAAAACAAACTTGAATTTAGTAAGGTTTTTTAATTTGCCAGAGAGTGAATGTTGGAGGGTTTTACGGCAGTGCCTTCTTCCTCTCCTCTGTCGTAGCTGCCGTGGAGTAGTTTGCTCTGTTTTGGAAGAAAATGGCATCAGCACCACTGTTTTCTGCATTTCAAGGTCACTGTTCGCATCTCCTCTGTCTGGAGTTCATTTTCATGCATTCTGACCCTAAGTCACTGATAGAAAGTCCCATCTTTTTCAGAGTTCCAAGAGAACCACTTCAAGTTATCTATATATTTGTAATCTTTTATAGTCAATATACTTTATTAATTAGATCTTTGATCTTAATTAAGTTGGCAGAGGTACGATCAGAATAGCTGAGCATTTAGCCACTTGCTCTGTCTGATTTTTTTCAGGGGGTGGTTTATGGAGAGGGTGGGAGACGCAGGTGTGAGCATCTACAAAACCTTACATACTTCCTGCTCATTTAGGAATCTGTCATTATACACGCTCACTGCCGAGGAGCGGAGTAGTACACTGTCCATTTTAGCTTAGAAAAAGGGATCAGTGTGCAAGTCTTCTCATCCAGTGTCAGGTGAGTTTTGTTGGGAGTGCTGAGCGAGAATGATGCCACAGGGCAGGACTTGAGGAAGTGTGTGCACGGCCAGTCGTCCCTTCTCACCTGACATTCATGCATTTTGTGTGTGTTTTAATAGCAAAAAGAAGTTGGCAGAGTCTCACAGTCTTTTGGTCTCCAGACAACATCTGCAGACAGAAGTGATCATAACCCTGGTAATTTGTCATATGTTCTTAAAACTAGTCTTTAGAAATAAGATGATTACAGATCAGTAGTCTTGGTCAATTGTAAGAGGGAGTGTGTCCTGTTTTGTCCCAGCAGTTTGTCGTGTAGCTCTGTGTTTGTCTTGGAGACTCTGTTCTCTGTTAACCCTTGTGTGACTGGTGTCTGCCTGTAGTGCTTCCGGGGCCTGGGTTTCCGTAATGGGAGTGAGTACAGCAACCCAGTCTTGAGGATTCCTGTTGAGGCGGTCCTCATTAGGGTCTCTATTTTATAGAATTTTCGTAAATGAGAACTAATTAGAAAATAATTTAGAAAATGTCTTTTTTCCCAGAATTCCTTACAGGTTACCAGGAATAGGGTGATTGTTTTTGCTGTGTTCCATTTTCTTTCTCTGCTTCTTCCCTTCAGCTGCGGACCCGGATGACCCGGTTTTTGAGATGCTGTATGAGAGAAATCCAGTGCACAGCCATTTTGAGAGGCGGCTGAATGTCAGCACGAGGCCCTTGAACATCATATATAATCCCCAGGCTATTAAAAAAGTAGCAGACTTTTTCTACAAGGGAAAGGTTCATACCTCAGGTTAACTTTTTTGTTTGTTTGATCTTCTGTTACTTTCTATAGACATCTTTCTTGTCATTTTTAGTGCTTTGGACAAGGGTTATTACACATTGAAGTGACCTGGAGTGGCTGGAATCAAAAAGGCCTGGAGGGCCCATGGGTAGGGTTGTCCTTAGTTACGGAAACAGGGGAAGTGTCCTTGGAACGTTACTTTTCCAGAAGGGATCAGTATTAAATATTTTCTTTGTCTTTGCTTCCATTTAGCATGCTTTAAAAAATAGCTTCCATTCTATTAGGAGGGTGGTTTCCTTGGCTACCCAGGATATTCTAGGCCAGTGAATTTAGGAGGAACGTTTGAGAACTTCCCTCTAGATGGCGGGGTCAGTGGTCTGTTTCCCTGCTTGGCGCAGTGTGAAATACTCATCCTTGCGGTGAACAAGGAAGGGCTCATCCTTGCGTTGTTCTCTGTCATCATTGCCTTATTCATGCCTCCCTTCGTTCCCAGGAGAGATTTGAGACCGTAGGAGCAGAAAAAGCACTCTTGTTGACAGGCGAAAACAATAGTCCTTTCCTACATGTATCCCCTCTCTCTCTCCTTATAACAAGGGAGCTATTTTAGTTTTTGGACAAGTTTTTGAGTCTTCGTGTCAACAACAGCTGTAAATGCTGTGGCTTTATTGCTCTGTCACTGGTAGAATATAAAAGGCATTTCCTTCCAAATCCCACATTCTCTTTTAACGTAGCGGTATGCTTTCAGGATATAGAATGGTCTGGGATCGTTCAGAAAATGGTTCAAGAAAATGCTAGTGACTTAGGTGCCTCCCCCACGCCATGGCTGGGCCCCCATCGTTGCCCCCCTCTGGTTACCACATGCAGTGTCGGCACGGGTGGGAGTAGGAGCCGTTGTTATACGGACGGTTCTTTAGCTTCGTTGGGAAGTCGTGGTGAGAACAGATGTTGCAGTCGTCTTTTCCACCCAGTCGCTTGAGAATTCTCACTCTCCCATGCGTCTCTAATCTTGCAGGTTTTGGCTATCAGTCTGAACTTGAGCTGAGAGTGGCAGAAGCTGCCCGAAGACAGTATAACAAACTGAAGATGCAGACCAAGGCAGAAATCCGACAAACGCTCGATCGTTTGCTGGTGGGAGACTTCATTGTAAGTGGGGTAGGGGTTGGCGCCCCCTCTGTCAGCTTCTTCCCTTCCTCTTTTTGAGTACGCTTGTTTCAACTGCAAGCATGGAGTTCACTGAAAATAGGAAATCCTTCTTAGCTAGCAAAAAATAAAATCTCATGGCCTTGACAGGCTGTCAAGAATACAAACGAATGGGGACGCCTGGGTGGCTCAGTTGGATAAAGCCTGTGCCTTTGGCTCAGGTCATGATCTCAGGGTCCTAGGATCGAGCCCTGTGTCGGGCTCTCTGCTCAGCAGGGAGCCTGCTTCCCCGCTCTCTCTCTCTGCCTGCCTCTCTGCCTACTTGTGATCTCTGTCAAATAAATAAAATCTTAAGAAAAAAGAAAGATTCTCTTTAAAAAAAAAAAAAAGTAGAAATATTTGAGTTTCAGTGTTTATTGGAATTCCATAATTTTGACCATACTGTGAGATAGTAAATCCTCTAACTATAGAAGCCGGATCTTTCTTAAGCCGTGAATCACCACAATCAAAGAGCAGACAACGCCAGTCCTGTAATTTGCTAATTTTTTTTCCCTCCCACTTCAAACATTTGCCTGTGGAAATGTCTCAAATCCTTCAGCCTGTGGATCTACTTTTGTTTTAAACTTTTTGCTCTGATACCATTGACCTTAAAGTGATCCAGTAACCCCTGAATGTGGCTTTCAGAAAGCCTTGAGCCCAACCGATAAAGCTGTTTAGTTTTCATGGTTGTGGTTACGTGACTTCTGGTTTATTTTACTTCTACAGGAGGAGAGCAAAAGGTGGACCGTGCGACTAGATATTTCCGCCCCTCAGGTGATCTTTCCTGACGATTTCAAATCCAGGAACCCCGTGTTAGTTGTTGTGGATCTAGGGAGAATGCTGTTGACAAATAGCCAAGGTACGGTGTGAACACGAAGTGGTGAAGACGGACCCCACAGGGGTTGATCTGCCTGTGCTTACCCAAGTAAAGCTTAAAAAACGCTTTCTAGGGGCACCTGGGTGGCTCAGTCGGTTAAGCACTCTTGATTTCAGCTCAGCTCATGATCTCAGGGTTGTGAGATCAAGCCCCGAGTCGGGCTCTGTGCAGAGAGTGGAGCTGCTTGAGATTCTCTCTCAATCTCTCTCTGTCTCTCTCTCTCTCTCAAAAAAAGGGCTTTTAGCGCAAAGTTCACTTGTTACTTCTTTTATGACAGCTGTATTGGGATATGTTTTAAAATGGGCAGTTCAGTGGTTGTTGGGATATTGACAGAATTGTGCCGTTTACTGTGTTATCTAGTCCCAGAACAGTTTCATCAACCTGGGAAGACATTCCAAGCCCTTCTGCTGTCACTCTCCATTACCCCTTCTCCTGTGCCCTGCCAACCATTAATTTCCTTTCTCTGTGGATTTGATTCTGCTGAACATTTCATACGAATGCAGTCATGTGGCTTTTTAATGTGTGGTTTTTTTCATGTAGCCTAATGTTTTCGAGATTCATCTATCTTGTAGCTTGTTTACTTCATTCCTGCCTGTGGTTGAGTAGTATTCCTGTGTGTGAATATACCACACCTTTATGAAGCGTTCGTCAGTTGGTGGACATTTGGGTTGTTTCTGCTTTTTGGCTACCACAAACAAGTGTTTTACGAACACCCGCATACAGGCTTTCGTGTAGACTTATTTTTAGCCTCTTGGCTATTACTTCCGTGTGGAGTTGCTGGGTCATATCGTGACTTTGTGTCTTACATTTTGAGGAACTGCCAGATTGTTTTCCAAAAGGGTGGCACCATTTTACTATCTTACCAGCAATGTATGAGGGTTTCTATGTCTCTACATCTTTGCCAACATTTGCTGTTATCTGTCTTTTAGATTATAGCCATTTTTTTCCTTTTTATGAATGTGAAGTAGTATCTCATTGTGGTTTTTATTTGTATTTCTCATGAAGCACTTCGGATTTTAAGAAACACCATTTCTCAGAACTTCATTTCAGAAATAGGGGTTTTTGGGGCGCCTGGGTGGCTCAGTGGGTTAAGCCTCTGCCTTCAGCCCAGGTCATGATCTCAGGGTCCTGGGATCGAGCCCCACATCAGGCTCTCTGCTCAGCAGGGAGCCTGCTTCCTCCTCTCTCTCTCTGCATGCTGCTCTGCCTACTTGTGATCTCTCTCCCTCTGTCAAATAAATAAGTAAAATCTTAAAAAAAAAAAAAGAAATAGAGGTTTAATCTATTTAGGGATATTAGGGACCCATATAAAAAGAGACTCCTGGAAGGTGATTTCATTACTGTTACTAGATCCAAAAAATATTTATCGTTTACCTTGAGATGGGCAAGAAGAAAGAGGATTCATGGGGTAAAAGGTTGAGGAAGCTTCTCAAATAATCTCAGTCTTATCTTCACTGAGAAGACCCAAAAGAGAAGAGGTAGAGGATTCAAACAGGAGTGGGAAAGTTTGGTGCCACGGGGAATGTTAAAAGGGAATTAGATCTGAAGAAAGGGATCTCACACCACGGAAAGCACCTACTTGAACTTTTAAACTGTAAACATGGAGCAGAGACGTGGGTGACAGAACCCAGTGGTGTGATTTTGTAGTTGACTCAGCCCTGAGCAGTAAAAGACTGGACTGTGGAAGTCTGTAGAAGAGAAGCGTTGAATTGTGAAATCAGGCTTGGGTGTGACGCTGTGAGCTTATGAGCTCTGAGCTGGGCGTTCGGGGTATTATTGAATAAGACAGGTGAGGCCTGGGTTCCTTTGAAACATTCGGTGGCGGGGAACCAGATGAGCACATAGACAGATACAGGGAAAGGTGAACAGACAGCGGAGAGTGAGGTAGGAATGGTTGGGGAGAGCAGAAGGTGGCCGGGGCGGGGAAGTAGGTCATTGGTTTCGGCTCCCTGACCTGCGTTCCGCTGTCAGCGGCCTCCATCTTTCCTCTCTTGCGTTCTGGTTTCACAGTTACTAGACAAGTTTACATTGAAGAAATGGTAAGATCAGAATATCATGCTTAGAGTTTTCATCCGTGTGTTTTTTTAGATTGGGGTTGGTTGATTTTCTCTTTTTCCTTAATCGTTACGTTAAAGGAAAGAGTAATGAAGGAGCAGACATATACTTCGCATCTTCTCTTTTTTGTCTGCAGATGACTCCAAGAGGAAAAGTGGGGATGGGCTAGCGTCTGAAGAGGACCAGTTTAGTGATGACGAGTATAAGACGCCCCTTGCCACACCTCCCAGCACCCCCCCTCCTGAGACAAGCAGCGGTAATGGAGGGAAAACAGCGCCATTTGCTGAGATGGAATTCAGCGCAGAGCAGCTGCAGGCACATCTCATGAGCACGAAGATGTATGAGAGGTACTCCCTGTCATTCATGGACCTCCAGATCATGGTCGGACGAGTGAAGGACAATTGGAAGCACGTCCAGGATATTGACGTGGGACCAACGCACGTGGTTGAGAAGTTCAACGTTCACCTCCAGTTAGAACGTCGCTTGATTTATACTTCAGATCCCAAGTACCCCGGAGCCGTGCTCTCAGGCAACCTCCCTGACTTGAAAATCCACATCAATGAAGAGAAAATATCTGCTCTGAAGAATTGCTTTGCTCTCCTGACCACCCCAGAAGTGAAGACTTCGGACACTCAGTTTAAGGAGAAGATTTTTCCTCAAGGCGGGCAGCGGGGCAGTTTGCAGGACTCAGTAATGAATTTAACCCAGAGCTTTGTGATGCTGGAGCAGCATACCCGGGAGGTTCTGGTGGAGTCACAGCTCCTCCTGGCCGAGTTTAAGGTGAACTGCATGCAGCTTGGTGTGGAAAGCAACGGTCGGTACATTTCTGTGCTCAAGGTGTTTGGGACCAATGCTCACTTTGTGAAGAGGCCTTACGATGTGGAGGTCTCCCTGACCGTCCACGGACTGCTCCTGGTGGACACGATGCAGACGTACGGTGCTGATTTTGACCTTCTGATGGCTTCGCATAAGAACTTGAGCTTCGATGTCCCAACAGGAAGCCTCCGGGACAGCAGGGCCCAGTCTCCTGTCTCCGGATCCAACGCGGCCCACCTCACCAGTGCAGCCACACTGAATGACCCATCGGCTACTGGTGTTTCACTTGACAAAATTCTCACCAAAGAACAGGAGTCCCTCATCAAACTGGAGTATCAGTTTGTGAGTTCAGAGTGCCCGTCGATGAATTTGGACAGCACTCTTCAGGTGATTTCATTACAGGTGAATAATCTGGATATTATCCTAAATCCGGAGACAATCGTGGAGCTGATTGGTTTTCTTCAGAAATCTTTTCCCAAGGAAAAAGATGATTTGAGTCCTCAGCCTTTGATGACTGATTTTGAAAGAAGCTTCAGAGAAGAAGGAACTTACCAAGCTACATATGAACAGAACACCGAGGTTGCCGTGGAAATCCACAGGCTTAACTTACTGCTCCTTCGGACAGTAGGGATGGCAAATGGCGAGAAATACGGCAGAAAAATTGCAACTGCGAGCATCGGCAGCACCAAAGTTAATGTCTCAATGGGTAGCACATTTGACATGAATGGTTCTCTCGGTTGTTTGCAGCTCATGGATTTGACTCAAGAGAACGTTAAGAACCAGTATGTTGTCAGCATTGGGAATTCCATAGGCTATGAAAATATCATCAGCGACATTGGCTACTTTGAATCTGTATTTGTTAGGATGGAAGACGCCGCCGTGAGTGAAGCTCTGAGTTTCACCTTTGTTGAGAAATCCAAACAGGAGTGTCTTCTCAGCCTCAAGATGGCTTCCTTGCATTACAACCACTCTGCCAAGTTTCTGAAGGAGTTGACGCTGTCCATGGATGAGCTGGAAGAAAATTTTCGAAGTATGCTGAAAAGCGCAGCTACCAAAGTCACTACAGTACTGGCTACCAAGACGGCCGAGTACAGTGAGATGGTGTCACTCTTCGAAACGCCAAGGAAGACTCGGGAATCCTTTGTCGTAGAAGAGAATGAAATGTATGGGTTTGGCCTCGCTGGGTCTCATTCTGACACCGTAAAGCTGATCTTGAACATAAACATTGAATCCCCTGTTGTGTCGATCCCTCGGAAGCCCGGGAGTCCCGAGTTGTTGGTGGGACACTTAGGACAAATATTCATCCAGAATTTTGTGTCAGGAGACGATGAATCCAGAAGTGACCGTCTGCGGGTAGAAATTAAAGACATTAAGTTATATTCTTTGAACTGCACCCAGTTGGCAGGCAGAGAGGGTCCTGGGTCCGAAGTAAGCCGGGGGTTTTGCTCTCCTTCTGGCTCTGCCAGTGCCACCAGTCAGGAGGAAGCTCATTTCACCCGACATGATTTTTTTGAATCTTTGCATAGAGGTCAAGGTGAGAGTGTAAATCTTTTGTCTCATTTTGTCAAAAGATTCCAAACCCGGTGTATGTGGTACTTTGCATAAAACAACAATGAAAACTTTTTCTTTTAGAATTATCCCCAGTGAATATTTAATTGAATTTTAGATAGAATTTTAATAGGATTCTTCCTGTCAGGTTGGTATGTTTTCAGTTGTTCCCATTGGATACCATATTTGGCAAAAGAAGAATTTTTATTTTTATTTTTTTTTAAAGTGGCCTCCCTTAATATTGGATGAATGCCCATTTACGGGAATGCTTCAAAGGCTGGGGTCTGTTAGAGTATTATTCAATTTGGTGAAATCCATCTGATTTTTTTCAGTTCTAAGCTGTAGATCTTTGCTAGTTAAATATTGTAGTCCGAGATAGCTGGGGGGTTGACAAAAGTCGGGTGGGAAATTTGGTCTGTGGATATGATATTTTCCTTTCAGTATTCTGTCATCTTCTGTAAGGGGTTGGGCCAGGGTTCTAGGAGTAAAATGCCTCCATTTATGTTCTCGATCTGATCTGCTAAAACCAAAACTTCAATCTATTAGCCTTGGCATCCACAGACATCAGCCTGGCTCTCCTTATCGCTAAAGAAATTCATGCCTTAGAGGGTTTCTCCGTCTGTGGTTCTCAGATGTGAATTTGCCAGTTTGCTTACATCCTGACCTAAAGATTGCTTTCTCTGCTTGGGATAAAAGGTGTTCACTTAGAACCTGATATTGCTCTTGATTTTGATGTCGGCCCAGCGAGAGGGATCAGTCTGTCACTGATAGCTGGGTAAGAATGAGCAGTTTGGTTTGGAAGATGCTGGCTTGGGAGGCTACGAGAAGCTTAGAGACCTGGCCTGGATTAATGTTCACCACATCGTGTTTTGAAGCCACCAGATGGAGCACGTCATAAATGTATTGTTTCTTTTTGTGTATAAATTTACGTCGTACCTCTGTTTGCTCTGCGTTGGTCTGGGTCTTGCTATGAGTTTGCACTCAGCCATAGACCCCAGGTGCCAGCTGTTTCGCCCTTTGGGTCTAGGGGTAACTCACAGGCTCTATTTTATACACCCTATACTTCAGCAACACTGAGTAAATATGAGTATATCCAATCTGTCATTTTCTCTCTGTCATGCCAGCTTTTCACATCCTGAACAACACCACCATTCAGTTTAAACTGGAGAAGATCCCTATAGAGAGAGAATCTGAATTGACTTTCTCCCTTAGTCCAGATGACCTAGGAACTTCTAGCATCATGAAGATCGAAGGGAAATTTGTCAACCCAGTTCAGGTAAACATGTGTTGATCTTCAAGTCTGGGCAGTTGAAGTCCTATATTTACTTTATATCATAATAATATGTTCGTATCTTGTTACATTATTTGTATATATAAAATGTTAGAAGGAAAATATGTAAATTCAAGGACACATTGTGACTGCCTATTACTGTTGGTAACTTGTTCTGTGAATGTGGAGCCTTTTCACTGTGTCCTTTCATCGCTGGGGAACCAGTCTTGTTGACCCTCTTCATGTGGAAGAACGGTGAGTTCTGCAGAGAGAGGAGGCAGATCATTAATTCTGTTGCCATTCAAAAACAAGCAGAGTTACTGCTTAAAAACTCAGAACCTGTCTTTCCCAGGAGGACACAGTTCTTGTCACTCTTTTCACATACTTGGCTCAGCCTGTAAAACAATCTGATTATTTGAGCTGTTAACAGACCCTCTCAAGGGAGAATTAGTCTTGCCCTCTTTGAAATGAAGTGGGCCTGGACAGGGATTTCGTGTGTGTATATACACGCACACGCCCTTGGGTGTAGTGAGTATACCTGTGTGTGTCGCGAGTGTATGTGTACGCAGCTATTCTATTTCCTTCAAAAGTGTCATTTCTCCTGCTTTCATAGGGATGAGCGCAAAGAGCATATCATTATTAAACAGCAGGGACAGGCGATCTTAGGACAGTGGACCGTAGCCTTGGGCAGTAACTGGTCACTAGTCTGTATCTGGCATCTGCTCTGGAGAAACTCAGGAGTCCTGTTCACAGAGCATGTGTACCTTTTGACCTCAGTGGTTCCTGGATATGGGTCCCTGGGTGAGAGAACTTTCCCCAAAGCTGTCCCATCTTGGATAAACTTTTGCATTCCCAGTCATGGCTACTAGGGTGACTTTTTCATCTTAAATCTAGCACATAGCATGGATTCTGTTGGATTATATTGACTTACTGTTCTTATGCTTACCATTTGCTTACTGTGATTTTTGATGAAAACCTTTCAAAAATTATTGTAAATAGTTCTTTAAATTATTATTTAATAATTAATAACTTTAATAATTTAGAAATATTTTATTATAAAAAATTTAAAACATACACAACAGTGGAATCTTTTTTTTTTTTTTTTTAGATTTTATTTATTTGTGAGAGAGAATGAGAGAGAGAGAGAGAACATGAGAGGGGAAAGGGTCAGAGGGAGAAGCAGACTCCCCACTGAGCAGGGAGCCCGATGCAGGACTCGATCCTAGGACTCCAGGGTCATGACCTGAGCTGAAGGGAGTCACTTAACCAACTGAGCCACCCAGGCACCCAACAGTGGAATAGTTTAATGAACCTCGTGTACCCATCACTCAGATTCAGCAGTTATCAATATTTTGCTGCATTTGTCTCATTTCTCTCTCTCCTTTTTCTGGCGGCGGAAGGGGAGGGCAGGGAGGGTTAGAAGGAGAAAGAGAATCTCAAGCAGGCTCCACGCCCAGTGCAGAGCCTGACTCAGGGCTTGATCTCACACCCCTGAGATCATGACCGCAACTGAAATCAAAAGTCAGATGCTCAACCAACTGAGCCACCCAGGTGCCCCTTTTGGTGAACTATTTTAAGGCAAATCCCAGAGTCATACCATTTTTACTGCCATATATTTGGAAGGTATCTCTATGGTCCACATGCATTTTCTTATGTAACTACAATGGTATTATGATGTCCAAATGAGGATTCCTTGGTAACATAATAAATTTTAATCTATTTTCAGATTTCAGAGACATTTTTGATTATTTAAAAAAATTTCTTTTCACTTTTGGTTTGTTTGAATCAGGATCCTAATGAGACCCTGTATGTTGCATTTCCATAATATATTGTGTGGGTCTGTGTTTAGTTTCCTCTCATTCCCCCCCCCGCCGCCCCATTATTGCTTTGTGAGAGGCAGGGCAGTTGCCCTGTAGATTATCCCGCATTCTGGACTGGGCTGTTCGTTTATGGCATCACTCAGCTCGTTCTCCCACATTTCCTGTAAGCTGTACCTTAACTCTACAGGTTGAACTGGATTCAGGTTCTTTTTTTCTTGGCCAGAACACTTTGGCGGTGGGGGCTGCATACGTCACATTGCATTATATCAAGAGGCACATAACGCCTGGTTGTCTCTGTGTTAGTGATGCTGGACTTGGTGATTGTGTGCAGGTGGCGAGAACCCGATCTGTCCATTGTAAAGGCCTCCCTACAGGGGCTTCCGCGGATCAACTCTGATGGGATACATGAGTTGACTGGGGCTGTTAAACCATCACTTTCCAATTCTGTCATTTCTGTATCCATTTGGAACTCCTCTGTTAAAAAATTTCCCTTAAGTATATAAAAAAACTTGTGTGAAAATATTTTTAATAAGTTGTAATTAAACGCAAAGTAATGGGAGAGGAAACATAAGTGATTTTGGCTTATCATTATTATCATTACAAAGCACTTTCTGTTTAGCTGAACTAAACAAAGGTTATTACACTAACTGGGGATGATCAGCGAGTTTTAGAACCATGAGTCTTGTTTCTCAGTCCTGTGGTAATCACCACATTGGACTCTTGTCGGCATTCCCGTCAATTTCTGCGGTTGTTTTTGTAGGGGTAGAAAAAGTGATTTTACTGATTCAGGCCTTACAGTCAGCAGTACTTACTGAGCACTGATTGTGGAAAGATTATTTTGTGAGGTGCTGGGGGAGGTAGGGAGATGGCCTAGTCAGTAGACATGGGCCAGTGAGAGGTTAAGGACAGAAAAGAAACAGAAGGGATAGTCCCTGCTGTTAACTAATTTAAAGTGTCTAGGGAAAACCCATAAATGTCAACTCTGAAAACTGGAGTGCGATCAGTGGTAGCAGTGGAATAACCGAATTCTTCTCTTTGACTGCAGGTGGTGTTAGCAAAGCATGTATATGAGCAGGTTTTACAAACGCTGGACAATCTCGTGTATAGTGAAGATCTGAATAAATTTCCAGTCAGTGCTACCTCCTCACCTTGCCCTAATTCTCCTCTGCCTTCCCTCAGTACCTGTGGAGAACCTTCCACTGAAAGGAAGGAGAATGGATTGTTCAGCCACTCCAGCCTTTCTAACTCTTCTCAAAAGTCCTTGTCTCTGAAGGAAGTCAAATCTTTTACCCAGATTCAAGCCAACTTTTGTATATCAGAGCTTCAAGTCCAGCTAAGTGGAGATCTGACTCTGGGGGCCCAGGGTCTCGTGAGCTTAAAGTTTCAGGACTTTGAGGTGGAATTCAGTAAAGCCCACCCTCAGACTCTATCTGTGCAGATTGCCCTGCGCTCTCTGCTGATGGAAGACTTACTGGAGAAAAACCCAGACTCCAAATACAAGAACTTGATGGTGTCTCGGGGAGCCCCTAAACCATCCAGTTTAGCACAAAAAGAGTATCTTTCTCAGTCTTGTCCTTCAGTATCCAATGTGGAGTACCCCGACATGCCTCGGTCGCTCCCTTCCCACATGGAAGAAGCTCCTAATGTCTTCCAGTTGTATCAGAGACCCACCTCGGCTTCCCGGAAGAAGCAAAAGGAAGTCCAAGACAAAGACTGTCCCTTGACCCCACCCCCTTCTCCAACAGTAGATGAGCCCAAGATACTTGCTGGGAAGAGTAAGTTTGATGATTCTTTGGTACATATCAATGTATTCTTGGTGGATAAGAAGCATCCAGAATTCTCTTCCAGTTATAATCGAGTTAACCGGAACATTGATGTCGATTTTAACTGCTTGGATGTGCTGATCACGCTGCAGACCTGGGTCGTGATACTAGATTTTTTTGGAATTGGCTCCACTGCGGACAACCACGCCATGAAGGTGCTGCCTGAGGACATTCTGCAAAATGTGAAGTCAGAACCAAACGCTCTCCTGGAGTCTGAGCTTCAGGATCCGGTTAACACCAAGCTGGATCTCAAGGTATCACGCGCCCTTTGGCTCCTTGAAGTTCTCAGAGTGAATTTTGGCTTTGTTTACGTAAATGCACTCACTGTTCATTTATCCTAGGAAATAGATCTTATTGACAGGGGAGCTATATTTAGTCTTTCGGATGTCCGTTAATATTTTAGAAAAGGCTTAGCATAAATCCCATCTGGAGGCAGCTAAGTAAGCTCCTGTCTTTCCTTGGGTTGTGTGGTTCGGTGGAATGCTCTGGTTTCTTGGAGCCTCAGGTTGCTGGTGATCTGATCGATTACGATAACTCAGTGAGGTACGGTATGTGGAGCGCGTAGCCAAGTGACTGGTACCTAGTAGCTGCTCTAGAATGTGGCTTTGGTCCTCTGTCCCTGCTCACTCAGGACATCGTTGGCTCTCACTGAGGCAACAGGACAACCACAGAGAATGAAGTCTCACATCAGACTGCCTGGGTTGGAGTCCTGGCACTTTTGCTCTATCCTCTGGCAGTGTGGCCTCGGGGACAGTTTTTGACTTCTTTCTCCCCCATTTTTCTCATCAGTGAACTGGGGGGGTGTTGAGCGGTGCCACCGTCGTTGGGCTGCTGCAAGGATTCGGTGAGAACAACACGAGCAGGGCCCTGTGCACAGTGTGTGGCGTGAAGCGAGCATTCAGCAAGCAAGAACTTGTGTGTTTTTTTGCTGTCATGTGGATTACCAGATTTATAACCTATCGTTGGTACTCCTAGCGTAGATGTTTAAAAACACATAAAAAAGATCGCGTTTGATTTTAAGGTTTTTCTGTTCCGTGTGCTAGCCCAGGAAGATGGGGAAGCAGCTAAATGCAGTGGACCCTTTGGGGGCACGTCCTCCGAGTGACAGCCACCTAGAGCCCGGGGCCCCCTGCTGTGGCTGATGCCATCCGTGCCTGGAGGGTGACGTTCTTCGCGACTTGTCGTGGCAAAGGCGGCCTGGCGCTGGCTGCCGGGGAGCCGTCAGGGAGGAGAATCCTGTTTAATCCAGTTGCTACCTCCTTCTTTCCTTGGCTGGTGGGAGGCTGCGCTCCTCTAGAAATGGAAGAGCTTTCAGGACAGAGTTTGGCCCGAACTGGTGTCACCTCTCCTGCTTAGTGCCTGTGGACGAGGGCTGCTGCAGCCCTCTTAGAAACTCCGGCTCCTGTTTAGCCGGATGAATGGCCACTGGGGAGGCTTCGGTCATTGTTTGGGACTTGATATGTTTGCGGCCGTAATTTTCATCTCGTGGTGCCTGCAGCGAACAGCCCCAGGAACGCTATGGCGTTGGGTGTGGAAGTGCTCCAGGGGGCTTTACACAGGTAGTGGTAGCTGGCTTCATAGGAGAACAACACTGGATAATGCCCCTTGGCAATGGGCTGTTCTCGAATTTTTGAAAACATTTTTATTGTTAAAATTTTCAAACATAACACACATAGTTTAATGAACTTCATTGACTTTATTCCTTTCTTCTTTTTGCTGAAGTATTTTGAAGCAAATTCCAGATCTATCATTCTGCCTCTTCATGCTTTGGTGTTCCTTTCTAAAAAATATAGACATGTTCTTCCCTGACCACTTATAACTCAATTAATGAGAATTTCTTGGTATTCTGTAACACTCACCAGTCCGTGATCAGATCTTTCTGATGATCTCAGAGTAGCCCTTTTACTGGTGGATTATAGAGAAATGAATGGTTAAGAAAGTTCATGTCTTCCCTGTGATCCCTGCAATTCATTGGAATGCTTCGCTTGGTTTACAAAAGGGGGAAGAGCGAATAAAAGGACATGTGACTCTTGAATGGGAGTTCAGATAAGGGTCACATGTGACATTTGCTATCCTAGCTCCTAATCTCTGTTAATAAAGAAAACCAGTCTGTGTTCCCCGCCTTGCCACTGGCTTGTAGAAACTGGGCTAGTGTCCTGTAGACTGTCCCACATTCTGGATGTGTCTTTTGGTTTCCATCTGGTGCCACCTGACTTCTTTGATCTTCTCATTTTAGAAATGAAAGTAAGCTCTGGAGATTCAGGTTCAACTTTTGGTTCACACTTCATGGGTCACTCTGGGTGCTTCCTGTTGTGTCGTGCTCGAGGGTATGCAGTGACACTAGGATTTGTGCTAAGAGTGGGGTCAGGGGGTGACAGCTGGGTTCCTCTAATCAAAGCATTTTTATTAGCCCCACTGTATTTGTTATTTGGGTGATTAAGTAACTGAGGGGCTCTGTTTCCCTCCCTCAATGATAATCTGGTTTCCTTGAGACCTATATGTCTGTGTCAGCAAGCTTTCTGCGGCCTCCAAGGCCACCACACCTAGAATAATCCCCTCCTTTTTTCTCTGCCTTCCTCTATAAATGTTCCTCCTTCTTATTTTCTTTGTATTATTTTCTTTCTTTCTTCCCCCATCTTTTTTGCTCCTTATCGTTCATTCATCAAACTTTACGGGGCACAAGCTTATTGGCAGGCCCTGGAGATGCAGGGCTGAGTCTGGTGCTTGGAAGCAGTGTGTGTGGATTGAGGTTCCATCTTTTCCCTTCTCCTTCCTTCTCCCCAACTGATCTCTACTCCCCGGGGATGATGCTAAGGCACCTGTCTCAACACATCCTAGATATAGAAGTCCTTTGATTGTTTGAAATGACAGTGTTACAGTACAGGATTTATTTGTTATAAGGAATGTGGTTCCTAAGACCGAGGATTTTGGCATTGTTCTGTTTCGGCTCGTCCCTCAAAAAGAAGATCTTGGACTCTGGTTCCTAGGCCAAGTCCCAGCTGGTCAGCAGAGGCCCTATTAAATGTTTGTCTAGTCATTAAACAGGATTCTAAATCATATTTATCATTTTGCTTGGACAGATTTCTTAGGGTAGGACTTAATGAAGCTCTCTGAGTGATTACAGAATAGCGTAATACGATAAACAAATGCAAAAATGAGAATGATTGTTTTATAATGTAACACGTTTCACTGACGAAGTCCAGATGAGGTGAGCACAGAGATGCCGCTGTGGGCCCTGGGTTTTAGGTTGTCCTGTGGAGCCCCTTTCTCATTAACTCTCTCCTCTGATAGTGTGTGATGGATCAAGAAAGCTAAAATGAAATTGGCATCCGCAAAAGTGTTCCCGTCATATTTCCCGAGCCCTTACTGTATCTTCCTCGATTTGGTTCTGCTATTTACCGGACACATGCCTTTTCTCCCCCAGTAAGATCTGCCTTGCTTTATCTCCCACGTTCTTAGGTTCATTCGCTCTCTCTCGTGCTGAATAAGACCACCAGTGAGCTTGCTAAAGCCAGTGTGTCCAAATTGGCGGCACACCTGGAAATGATTGGTAAGTGGGGAGAAATCAAACTTGCAAAATGTGGTAAGCATTTGGATCTCCTGCTCACAAATGTAACTATCTTCATAGGCAAAGTGAGGTGAGGGACCCGTGGCTTGGATTGTGGTTCTCGGTTTGGCTGTGGTTTGTGGTGGTGGTTTTCAAACACTGGCTTAGGGAGCAGAATTTGGTGGCCAGCTTGCCAAAAATGCATGTGTCTGGCCACTCCCCCACCCCAAAATATGATTCATTAGGTTGGGATGGGGCCTTGGCATCTATCTGTGTTTTTAACAAACTCTCTCTAGGGTGACTATATAATTTTTTGTCCAAATCGGGACATTTTGAGAGTGAAAAGGGACATTATTAATAATTATACCTGGGAAACCAGGGTATATGTTCTCTCTGTTGCCGTAATAGCCACCAGTAAGGGGCATGGTTTTAGGTGGGAGGAAATTGCAAAGCTGGCATTCTGCAGGTTGAAATTGTTAGTGAACACAAGGGATCAGCTACATCAAGTTCTAAATAGAAGACATTTATGAAGTGTGAATAAAGCACTATTCCTTCCTCAGAGAACAGATAATGAAATAACGGAAGATCACAACTCAGATGTCGACTCTGTAGTGTAAACAAGAATGTGTTTCGGGAAAGGAATGATGTGATATTGAGATTTCATGCCTGATGTAAATTCAATTAATTTATAAAAGCTCAGAAGAGATGGGTCTTTAAAATTGGGAGAAATTTGGGTTTTTTTGTTAGATGACATCAAGGGCCAAATATAAGTACGTCTTCAATTCACTGAGAGCTGAGCTAGCATGGTGAACATAGACACCGAAGTCATTGCTCTGTAGTGCTAATTATGACGATAAAACTCGTTTTATGGAAGCAACTGTTCTCAGTCTCGCTTTTTAATGTCCACACCGTGTAAAGAATGATTCATCATAGGTTCACATCCCAGCTGCACATGTTTTACCATCCTTCTTTGTTCTTTTCCACCTTCAAGGGGTTTCACTCTTATAATACCGGAGTAGTTTTAAATCTGTCTCCAGTGTCTGTCTCATTAATTGTACTTTTTTAAATTAAATCACACTAACACCCACCTAATGTTTCCCGAATACCTGATGTATCTCTGACACTTCCTCCTTAATTCTTTTCTCCTCAGTACAATTAATAGACGTTTTGCTGTTTCACTAATTCCAGTTAATGGTCTTAATCTCCGAAAGGATCCCATTTTGTTTGTTTTTAGAAATGTTTTATCCTTTAGTTTGTGTATGCATTTAATTTCTCTCCCCTTCTAAAGGGTAAAGTATGATATTTCTGTATTGTTTCAACCCTCTTTGGACTTCTGCACTGAGACTGTTTGAAACAATATGGAAAATGTTTTTGGTGGGTGGATTGGAATATGAAAATTTGCCTTTGACATTTAATTTGATTAAATAGTGAAAAGTCTGAGGTATGTATTTGTCAGTTTTGTGCCAGACATATTTAAGGTGTAGGATGAAAATGGATACATAAGAATGTGTTCTAATCTTAACATTCCTAGACGGAGACCTGGCCTTACAGGGCAGCATCGGGAGCCTGTCCCTGAGTGACCTCACAGCGCATGGAGAATTCTACAGAGAGCGCTTCACGACCAGTGGGGAAGAAGCGCTCATCTTCCAGACTTTTAAGTAAAAATGCCAGTTTTTCTCATTTGACATTTCGTTACATTTGCTTGCTATTTCAAATTCTTGTTGGCTAAACAATAAAAGTTCAAGAAAATGTTACTTTCTTAGGTAAAATTGACATGATCTAGTTGCAGGGAATCCTGATTTATAGTAAGACTGACCTGTGTGAAGTGGCTACTCAGTCTTCATAAACAGATGGCGTGGGGTTGAAATAATTTTTTCCTTAAGATTTTTTTTTTTTTAAGTAATCTCTACACCCACCCTGGGGCTCAAACTCACAACCCCGAGGTAAGAGTCGTGTGCTCCACTGACTGAGCCCACCAGGTGCCCCAAAATAATTGTGGTTATTCAAAAGCCTGGGCTCTCCTGCCGGCTTTGCACTCGCTCGTTATGTGACCTTAAGCAAGTCACTTAATTTCCACGAATCAGTTTTTCTATCTAAATATCGAAGGGACATTGAAGGGACAAAGGTAGATCAGTTTCCATCTAGCTCTCAAGGTTCTGGAATGATTTCAGCCTGAAAAAGTTGTTGAAGATGTGGATGTTAAATGATATTACACATTTTTTTCTGTATAAGGACAATCTATATTGAATTTTTGCAGTTTTAGAGTTTAGAAGGCATTTTGGGACCTATGTAGTTTTTAAAGAATGGTTTCTTCAGAAGGCTAAAAGTTTAAAATGGTGGGTTTTCAACATTTGGGGAGCTGTTGGAAAAAATAGATATCAAGCTCTGCCCCCAAATATTCTAATTTAAGTCTTTTTTTTTTTTTTTTTTAACATTTGCTAAAGTGATTCTCATGTTTAACTAGAGTTGAGAAAAACTATCCCCAAAGATGTCTGAGGACTTTTTATTTCATTTTTGGGGGAAGTATATCACACTCTACTGAGAATGTAGATTGGCGTGTTTATATTATTACCTACCACAGTGGTGTAATTCTTTTTTTTTTTTTTTTAAGATTTTATTTATTTATTTGACAGACAGAGATCACAAGTAGGCAGAGAGGCAGGCAGAGAGAGAGAGGGGGAAGCAGGCTCCCCACTGAGCGGAGAGCCCGATGCGGTGGTGCTCGATCCCAGGACCCTGAGATCATGACCTGAGCCAAAGGCAGAGGCTTAACCCATTGAGTCACCCAGGTGCCCAAAGTGGTGTAATTCTATGATAAATGGGATAATTAATATAAAAGTCCTAACTGTCTGCTTGGCACAAAATAGGTGCTTAAGCAAATGTGAGTTTCTTGCCCCTGGGACTGTGTCCTATATAATTTATTAAATGATGCCATGGCTTTTAAATTGAAAACCATTCATAAACGTTTTCTAACCTGTCTTGGAATGTAGAGGCTAAACCTCTTTGGCCTCCATTTCACGAAGCAAAAAGAAGACAGCTTTCTGCCTCCAGGAGACAGTTTTCCCCAGAAACACTGATTGTGTCGCTTAATGTTCTTTCGCCCTTGTTTCTTGGATGTACTTTTTATCTCTCGAGTCCATATCGTTACAGTCTTAGAGCGGGAAGAATCACTTTTCCCTAAAGGCCGGGAAAGAGCGCTAGTGAAAGGTGTGAGCCGCAGGTGGCTGCTGGGGGAGTTCTGGAATCCAGAGGGAGGCTTGCGCCGCGGCTGCCCACCTGTTCACAGCCATGGTCGTCATCCCAGACTTGCATTTCACATCCTCAGCGTGTTGCTGCGGCTCTGGAGAAGAGCGACTCTTGGGGTCTGCTATGTCAAACCGGATTGCAGAGTGGCATTTCACTAGTTACAGCAGCTTTCTAGGGGAAACCCCTGCGTGAGCCTGTTTTCTTTCAGTACTGACTTGTGTCTGGCTCCCTAGTCACGCTTCCGCGCTTCTTCCCAGATACGGCCGGCCTGACCCGCTGCTCCGGAGAGAACACGACATGCGAGTGAGCCTCCAGATGGCCTCCGTGCAGTATGTGCACACGCAGCGCTTCCAGGCCGAGGTGGTGGCCTTTGTCCAGCACTTCACGCAGCTGCAAGATGTCTTGGGGCGCCAGCGAGCCGCCATCGAGGGGCAGACGGTAGGAAGGCTCATTTCCCCAAGTAGCTTTTCCAGTTTGACTGATCAATAGAACTTTTCAGCCTCTAGAGTAAAAGTCTGGAAAATTTCACTGCAAAAAGGAAAGGTCTTTAGGTAATTTTACGCTTACTAGTGTCCTCTGTGTAGCCGATGATCTACAGGAGTCTTTCTGTAATTGGAGAGCTTCCGTTCCTCCTTCGTCGTGTCGCGTGTTAATGGCCTCTAAGATTCAGCTTTAGCTTCCTCTAAAGAAGATAAACGGAATTTATGGCTAACACTGAAGACTTCTGGTCCCCTTTAGTACTTCGGTGGAGACACTTCTCTTGGAAAGTGTTTCCAAGGAACATACCAGTTAAATAAAGAGAGTTTTTTCCAAATAGATTAGCGGTTCCTAGCTTCTTCATTCATGGTTCTCTTAGTGTTTTGGAAATATTTCCACAGCACGTCCTCAGCCAAAGACACACCTAATGGTCTTTCCATTTAAAAAGTAGTTAAGTCTAGGGGCGCCTGCATGGCTCAGTCGGTTAAGCGTTTGTCTGCCTTCGGCTTGGGTCATGATCCCAGAGTCCTGGATCGAGCCCCGCATCGGGCTCCGTGCTCGGTGGGGAGTCTGCTTCTCTCGCTGCCTTACTCCCAACCCACTTGTGCTCATCCTCTCTCTCTCAAATAAATAAATGAAATCTTAAGAAAAAAAAAAAAAGTAGTTAAGTCTAAATAAGTACGTACACAATTCTTAATGACTCAGTAGCTGTTTAAAAAATAACATATAAGTGAAAGAGTTATATTTTTATCCCATTTGTAAATAAATAACTTGCTAGCAGGGATGTAAGTGCCCTTGGGCACCTTTCAGCTTCTCAGACTTAGGACCAGGCAGGACATGACGGCGCTCATTCATGGTCGCATGGCCCTACTCTTTATCGCAGCAGCCACCAGAGACCCCGCTTTGCGAAGGTGCCATGTCATTGAAAGGAAAGTAGCATGACCTAACGTTGAACGTGAACTACCTTAGCCTAGTATGTGCAGTGTCCAACGATTGATGTGTTTGTCTCAAAAATTTGAAATGTCCTGGCAGCATGGACCTGCGTGGCAGTGTCTTATGATGTCTTGGCACAGAGTTTGGGAACCACAGCAAATGTTTATGGTACAGTCCTTTGTAAAACTTACTTATTTTAAAGCTTCATTAAGTAATAGATTATAATTAAATAGGTGCTGTCTTTATAGTGACAACATTTTAAAAAGTTTAATTTAATTTTATTTAAATTTTTTGAATATGTTTCATGTTGATTTCATATAGAATCAATGTAAAAGGACATTTGGAGAAAAGTTTCCTTCTCAGTTACTTTTCCTCAATCACCCAGTTTCTCTTCCTGGAAATAATTAATGTTACCTGTTTCCTGTATATCTTTGAGGGAATATAATTTTTAAAAAATACGAAAGCACAGGGGTGCCTGGGTGGCTCAGTTGGTTAAGCCTCTGACTCTTGATCTCAGCTCAGGTCTTGATCTCAGGGTTGTGAGTTCAAGGACTGTGTTGGGCTCCACACTGGGCATGGAGCCTACTTAGTTAAAAAAAAAATCAGTTGATCAATCTATCTATCTATCTGTAAAAGCACAAATTATAGGGACTATGGGAAAAAAGGGTCAATCTTATCAGTGTCCTAGTACCCAGGTATATTTTAATTTGTTTTCATTGTTTCTTAAGTTTCTCCCTATGCATATTTCCATGGTTGTAATCATAGAGTATGTAACTTTTTTTCTCTTCAGAAACTTTTAAAACAAATTTAGTATTTGACACATATAAAAGAATATCTCTAGCATGTCAGTTTCGCACATTTGGGAAATAAAAATTACAACATTGCTAATGCTGCTGCACGTGTTCCTTCCCCATCTCATTGCTGTCAACTCCTTAGGTAACTACTCTCCTGATTTTTGGGTCTTGTGATCCCTCAAACAGAAGTTCCCATATTACATCTTATTTCATTTGTTTTGATCTTTTAAAAAATGGTATTAGGCTGTGTTTAATGTTCTGTTGCTTGCTTTTTTTTTTTTTTTCCATTTTCATTTGGTTAGAAACATTAAGGCTATTACACGTGATTGCCTTACATTTAATTTCACTGTTATAGTTCATTGCGTGTAGAACAGATTTATCCGTTTTCCTGTTGAACATTTAGTTGTTTACAGTGTTTTGCTGTTGTGCACTATGTCTCTTAGTGCACACGTGTAAGAGTTTCTCCAAGCACGATTTCTGGCCCAGGGGGTATGCACATGTTTAGCTTTACAAGATAGTGCCATATTGTTTCCCAAAACCATTATACATTCCCATTGGCAATTTATAAGAATTCCTTTTAATTCATATCCTTGTATGAATTCATATCCTTTAATTCATATTCAACACTTGTTAACCTTTTTATTTTGCACCAATAATGGTGCAAAATGGCATTTTATTTGTGGTCTACTTATGCCTTTTATTTTTACTTCTTATTTTTAATTTTAAAATTTTAATTCCACCTCCCTGTGCTTTTTTAAAAAAACATTTAAATTGAGGAATAGCATACAGTAACGTAAAATGTGTTAATTTTATGCATACACTTTTTAAAAAAAAGATTTTATTTATTTATTTGACAGAGAGAGAGAGAGAGGGAACATAAGCAGGGGGAGTAGGAGTGGGAGAAGCAGGCTCCCCGTCAAGCAGGGAGCCCGTTGCAGGACTCGATCCGAGGACCCTGGGATCATGACCTGAGCTGAAGGCAGACGCTTAATGCCTGAGCCACCCAGGTGCTCCTATGCATGCACTTTTGAAAGCCATCGTGTTAACCTTTTTTCATAATCTGTTTCCATTTTGCTTTGCATTTTTTCCTAGTGATCCTGTTTGGTAACAGTATAATCCATCTAAGTCAGTGTACTTAACCATTTCCTTGCTCTTTAACATTTAAATTGCTTCCAGTTTTGAATAGCATTGTGTACCTAGTTTTTTTTTTTTTTTTTTTTTCATTTTTTTGAATTATTTTTATAATATTGAATCCTGTAAATGATTGTTTGGTCAAAACGATGAACATTTTTATGACTCTCAATTCGATACTTTTAATAAACGTTGCCTATTAGAATCATGTACCCTTAACATGATTATTTTCACCTGTGTGGTTTAAGCAGTAGTGGTACTGTGAGGAATCACTAGGGGTAGGAAGTGAGACAGTGTACATTAGTGTGTAATTGGGTTTAATTTCCTGGGTTAGGCAGAAATTAAACAGGTAAATATTTGAAGTTTTTGTGATACCAAGTTAGATAAGACAAGTAGTGAAGGAATGATCTTCCTTTTTTTTTTTTTTTTTTTAAGATTTTATTTATTTATTTGAGAGAGACAGAGTGAGAGAACGAGAAGGGAGGTCAGAGGGAGAAGCAGACTCCCCATGGAGCTGGGAGCCCGATGTGGGACTTGATCCCAGGACTCCGGGATCATGACCTGAGCCAAAGGCAATCACTCAACCAACTGAGCCACCCAGGCGCCCTGACCTTCCGTTTTGAACAATGCCAAGTGCATGGACTCTGAGGAAAAGCTGATCTCAAGATCTTTAATCCTAGCTGTTTGAACCACCTACGTTTAAGATTTTGCATACTTAGATGTATGGAGAGAGCTAAAGATGTACTTTTATTTGCTGGTAAAATTTGAGGCTGTTGAAATTTAAATACCTTTTTCCTGGTGACAGGTGGTATGCTCTGCCTTTGACTTGAAGCTGGATTTTTTATTCTTGTATTTTCCAGGGTCTGTAAATAATGATGGAGTAGCACTTGACGTTTCTTTTTAATCTTGATGTTTGAAATTATAAGAGCATCACGTACCTCGACTGGGCCAAGTGTGAATTTATTTTTATTCCAGAAGCACGATACGGTTTTCCTGCATCTTATGCTCTACATGTTGTTTCAAATATTTGTTAAACTTCTTTATTTACTGAGCAACTGGGAGTGCAGAATTTTGGCAGAGCGAAGATATGGTATTAGAGTTTTAAAATCTTGGTACAAGAATCTGGAGCCTGGGTGTTGCCAGTAGAAGCTGTTTCACCAGTAGCAAGTTCTTCTTGCTGTTCTGCTGACTCCGATATTAGAGGAAAATGAAGATACAAAATAAGTATGCTGTATGCTCGCTTAGTGGTGTAGTCATGATGCTCGGGAGCTGTCAGAGTGCTCGCACATGTCCCGTCTGATCCTTGTGACAACCTGTTTGTTCATTTCTGTGAATTATTTAGTGAATGTTCATTGACAAATGATCTGTCAGAGTCTGCCAGTGCTAGGAACGTAATGGAAAACAAGGAAGACAAGGTGATTGCTTTAATGGAGCTCGTGTTTTAGTGAGATGATAATACCCGCAGAAAATATAATTAGTTATGATTATAACCAGTGAGGGAGTGGTGGGCAGATGCATTATTGCCATTTCATCAGTGAGGAAGCAGTAATTCTTTTTTTTTTTTTTTTAAGATTTTATTTATTTATTTAACAGAGAGAGAGAGAGAGGAACACAAGCAGGGGAGTGGGAGAGGGAGAAGCAGGTTCCCTATTGACAAGGGAGCCCAATACAGGGCTCGATCCCAGGACCCTGAGCCAAAGGCAGATGCTTAACTGACTGAGCCAACCAGGTGCCCCAGGAAACAGTGGTTCTTAACTCTGCTTGCCTGGGACTCTGGCTAACTCATGATTCAGCTTTTCTCTTAACGGGGATACGGGTAACATGGAACTATTAAGGCGTGTTGAAAGAGTAGGACTGTGCAGTTTTAGTGCATTGGTTTTGCAGTAGACTTGCCTGCTCCTAGATGAGTGCTTCCATATGCCACACGTGGGTGGGGGACATTTCGTCCTTCCAACAGCTCTGACGGTAGGGCCTACAATTCCTCCCATTCGCAGGTAAGGAGAGGGAGATCCAGAGACCTAACAAGTTACCCAGGCTGGCCAGACTTCTGAGGGACCAGGGCGGGGATTCGATTCAGGTAGACAGGCTTCAGAGCTCCCATTC